TTGGCAAATGGGGCATCTGTAGCTGAAGGGCAAATGGCACATAGTCAGCAGTTAATGACCAACATTAGAAGGAGAGAGTGTGTCCTACCGGAGAACGAGTGTTGTGTGCCTTCGCTCGACTGCACAGACGTCCCCCCGATAGCCAGGATGCCTTCTTTTCTGTTGATGACCTTGCGGAAAGTTTTTGCTATTTGACTGCCCTTCAGCTCCTGGACGATCTAGAAAGAGCCCAAAAGAAATACTCAGAGACCAACTACCACCATGCCTCCGAAATCCAGCATTATTGTTTTCGGCTGAAAACTCAGTGGCCACTTTATTACGTTGGTTATTTAAGTCCAATCTGATGCGATGCAGTAAACCCTATTCTGCCATCAATTTCACCATGTTCAGTTTTTGCTGACAATGTCAGAAACGTGTAATATAATTTTACATTTATTACTGAGGTTACTTTGACATAGTTAAAAGGTTGTGTTGTACTGGACTACACTTTATTCACAGGTGTTTCTCTCTCTCTCTCTCTCTCAATATCATGTGGTCCAGCACATCATCACCATGAACCATGACCTCAATGCGAGCACATCAAAATTAAATAACACCTAAATGACAGCGTCAGCAAAAAACAACGTTATTGACATCAGACTTTATGACAGAACAGCTGTATAAGATTGCATTAGATTCTACAGGTGTACGTATTAAAGTGTCCACTGACAGCGAGAGAAATCACAACCACATCAATCATTACACAGTGATTCTGGTGAAGTGATTCATAAAAATCACTCATGGTGGATATTTGTCATTCATTTAAAAAAAAATAAAGACTTCATCAATGGTGTAAAAACACTTTTTTTTTGCTGCTGCCATACTTATGTGTAAAAGCCTCAATCATCTTCTCTCCTGTTACTGTTGTCGTGTAGAGCTCCTGTCAGCCTCCATGAACAACCTGCCAGCTAAAAGGCTGAGAAGATGAGATGAACATCTAGACGAGTGAGTTCTTAACTAACACTGTTACTGTAACAGAAAGGTCCAGGAAGACTTCAGCTTGAAGGGTTCATAGAAGAAACTGATGTTGTGTTGTGCATTTAAGTACACTGTACTGATTTAAAGTGAGACTGTGCATTCACCACTCCTCTAATCTAAGTATAGTGTTCAGTGCGAGAGTGCCAGTATACCATTATCAAGAGTAACAGTACACCACCAGGGCTCCACACTAACACCACCCTCTCGTCCCCACATTAAATAATTACCCATAAACAATAAATCAGTCTCAACAACAACACCCAATGGGACCATAGAGAGCTCTGTGGTTCATACTTTGATAAGACGTATTCTATGGTGTGCGCGATACTTCTTGAACCTGAAGTTATCTCTGCTTCATCAGTGACCTCAGCCTCTCGGCCACAATGAGCTATTCAGCCCGACTCTGAGAGACCGTGAGCACGAGGTCACGGGTTGCCAGCTCGCATTTTTTTGGGCTGCGCCGGGTAAAAGAGGCAACCACAATAAGACAATCATGACCTCGCAAAGACGATAAGGATTTCAAGTTATTTCAGCAACTTAGCAGAAAGCTATTTTTTTCCAGTTATGTGGGCAATAGGGAGGACATCCACATTAATTTGTATTTAATCTGGTTTGTTATCACCCATAAGAACATATTTTAAAGGGGTGTTTTATGTGGAGCAGCACACACGCACACACCTTTCTACCACAATGGCACAATGCTGTTTGGCAGCTAACTGGAAAGTCCCAGATGTCCTCCCTTCCCCCCGGTACATGAACACAGCACAACAACAAGAGACAGAGAAAATTCACAAGAAAACTTCCTCCAACTTTGTCGACACCATGACTTGATTTTGGAAATTAACCAGAGAAGGTGCATCAAACTATATTTTTAAACAGATAGTTCAAAAAAAGGATCCGAGTCTTGTATCAATGACATCCTTTTAAAATCAATTCAAATCTTTATTTTTTTTAATTATATTACATTTTTGCTGGATTTGATTCCATGTGATTTTTCTTTGTACTATTTAAAATCGGCTGGTTTTATTTAATGTCGTCTTGAAATGTTTCAACCCTGATTTTTGCATGTAAAGGACTTTTTGATATAATTTGATTATTTCCATGATTAATATTTCACACACGACTTTGGCTACATCTACAAAAGGTACTCGGATGACCTGGAAACCATAAAGAGTAAATCAAACCTAAAGTAAGTAACAGCTTAACTTCAAGACTGACTCCCAGATATTCGGGCATCCGAATCAGAGTTAAACTTACTAAACAGCCACCCGCCCTAAAACAGGTCACTTGAAAAAAACAAAACACAGCTGGAGAAGGTTGTTTGGTCGACTCCTCTGATAGTGAGGTCTTGAATTATCTGCACTCCTGAACCAGAAGCTGCCTCTGTGAATGACTGCTCAGTCATCACTGCTGAAACTAAATACTGGAACTCACACCACTTTGCTGACCTCACTTCCACGTCCCCCGAGTATGCATATGTGTGTGTGTGGGTGTGTGTGGGTGTGTGGGTGTGCGTGTGTGGCTCGTAGAGGCATTTCAACGCTGCCGTGCGTGGAGCTGCTCAAAGTAGCTCTGCGTAGTGGCCCCACCCAGGAGGGCGAGGTGCTTTTAGGCAGAACAGAAAACAAAGACCAACTCAAGAGTAAGAAAAGCTCCGAGCAGAGAGTTAAAACTTTGTCAAGCTCGACGGTGCAAACCGCTCCGAGCTCCGCTTAACGTACCGACAGGAACTCCTCGAAGCTGATCTTATTGTCCTGGTTGCGATCCAGTTTCTGGATGATCTCTCGAACCATGTATCCAGGCTGGCAATGGCCGGTGTCTTTAAGGAGTTCATTGAGCTCATAATCACAGATATATCCACTGCCGTCCAGATCTACAGAAAACCCCAAAAAGAACCATTAGACACCAGGACATGTGGTACAGATGGGGATAACATACTCACGGTAACTCGGCCTTTACTCACCACATTTGTCAAAGATCTCTCTCATCTCCTCCACCTCCTCTTTTGATATTTTTCCAGTCATGTTTCTGTGATTGACCCGAGGTGGTCGCTCAGAGAAAAAGTGGGACTGCGGAGAAGAAAAGAGCACAGAGTCGTCAACGCGGTCTTGAAACGACAGACCCATGCAGACTGCTGAACGCTCACGACCTTTCTGCCAACAGAGAAGTGACATTTCCTCCAGGCGAAACAAAAGTCGTCCCCCCCCCCCCCCATCTTCTGTCAGGACTTAAAGTAGTGCGCACCTCATATATCCACACTGATCCCCACCCCTGCTGATCCTATCTACTGTTCTCTTTGGTTTCTAATTTCAGCTCTTTTCCAAGCATGACTCTCTCCCATAATCAAAGTCATTTCCTGTTCCATTGTACAGCAGTGAGCCCATGCTGTAACACAAATGCCGGAGAAGCCGAGACCACTGCACTCCTTTGATGATTTTACGCAGCACTCTCTGACAAAGTTGTTAACGACAACAGCATGTTCTCCAAATCCTCTAAAACAAACAGTTTTTATAATAATCTATTGTGTTTTTTTTTTGCTCTTTCATTGGCTCCACAAAGCAGATTTCAATCATTTTATTTGAGTGTTGAATTAATCTTTCATGCAAACTGAGCTAGATGTAATGAAAAGTGCGATTTCATGCGACAACATTACATCTGCGGCTTCTTCCCTGATATGCTGGTTCATCACGAAGCTGTTTTGGGGTATTTTTTGACATTTTTAAATCAGAGAGCAGTGTCCTCACCGAGCAGAGAGGTTAATTCAACTGTGTAAAGACTCAAGTCACATGAGCCAGCGAGACTCAAGTCTCGGTTGTTTTGCTCTTCTCAAAAAACCACAGTGTTCCTGAGCTCCTCTGAGGCAAAGCAGGCCGTCTGAAAAGTCACTGAAAATAAGGAATTCCTTCCGAGTGCCTCATTCCCGTTCTGCAGCGGCGGAGGAATGCACGAGGCCTGGGCAGACCGGGCTTGGCTTACACAGAGGTGAGCAGGGTGTGCTGCCTCGCTGTCCGAGGCTAAACCGGTACGGTGGCATTCCTCTCGAACACAAAATGTTCAGAAAACAAAAAAGGTGAGCTTTATAATGCGGTGAACGAAGGATCCCAGATTTTTCCAGAGAGTAAAGTGTTCCCATTTCCTGATTTAAAGTACAGATTGTTTTTGTTTTTAATACAGTGCATTAGTCAGAACGATGGGCAAGGCCATTTCTGGCTTCTACAGTGCTACACGTGTAAAATACAAGGGAATAGTTAAATGTCCGGTTAGTCAAACAGACTATAATCCCACTGATTATTAAAAAGGTAAATTTAAGCCTGAATTGGTTTAAATGGTTTCAGCCCATCTAGTCTTCCGGTGTCCACAGCAGCCTCACAGGCTCACATTGAAGCAGACACACAATGAACAAAGGTCCAGTAACTGTGCATCCTCTTTCATGAATGAACCTATTAATAGAACTCATGAAAGATGATTCAACGGTAGCCATGTGGTCTCCGAGATGTGACTCAGTTGCTCAGTTAAAACCAACACTTTGCCCAAAACATAATCAAAAGTGAGTTTCCCGACAAAGTCATTCAGATGAAATGTTTCTATTCATTAAGCACCAACACCAACAGAGATACCTTTAAAATGCCACTCCGTGAATCATAGAGAACAGCGTGTTTTTCCTTCTACAAAGTACTACTAAATCAGGGCAAGCACAAACTCCTGACTAAACGATTAGGAAAATGACGACGCCGGTGTTGCTATATTTAACTTTGCTCCAAAAAGGGATATCAGCACCCAGCTACAAACACCCCCTCCACCTCGCCAGCCCTTCGGCACACCCCGGACAGAGGGAGAGTGAAAACAGAAGAGGGGGTTAAGTACATGGAGCGAGGGCACAGATGGCAGGCGACAACTGTGAGGCGAATCCCTGGTGCCCCAGAAGAATGGAGCGTTTGTAACCAGCCGACACAAACAACGGCAATAAATCCCGTGTCGCACGAGAAAGTGAGTTCAGAGCGACAGGCTCCGAAGACAGTTGCCGTCTTTGACAGCTGGACTGTGCGCTCGGAGAGGGGAGAAAAATTCCTGCGCTCTTCAACGCGGCAGCAAGCTCCTAAATGGAGCGGCTAATGTCGGCCTAAAAGCATATCAATACTACTGATGGAGTTCAAAACACATTATTGACCCAACAGGGCCGCAGGTCATCCAGGGCCATGCGATGTCTAGCAGTGGCAAAACAAGAGCAGCTGGACTTTTTCCCTGCTCACTCATTCAAGAAGCTCACATACATAAGTAGTTTCTCTCCAAGCATTGGCTTTAATTGTTGAGCCGGAAAAAAAACAGCACAACGCCACCGTTTATGATCTTTTTTGCGGGATCTTGGAGTGGATTGAAAGCGAAGGGCTGATCCCCAGAGTTAAATGTGCAGAGCTGACACACCCCGCCCCGTCAGCGCTTCATCCACACAGCTACATGGGAAATGTGAGGCACACAAATAGACCCGAGTGTGGTCAAGTTCATACGCGCACACACCCAACATAGTCTACACGAACATTTTTTTTATACTCCGTCACAATCACCTGCAGATGTGAGTCAAACTGACTCATACAACACCAAACAGTCCGACAGCGGCTTCCTTTATTTCGCACTCAAGGCCGTTGTGGACGACAGAAGCACTTCCACACCGACAGGTGAGGAGAAGGTGCCGACAACAAACGTCATGTGTGGAGTTTACACAACTCTGACATCACGCGCAGCTGCAAGGCTGGGTCTAGCGGTGTTATAAAAGGCGTACAAAGCGAAGGTAACCGGTGAATCATCATGGAAATATTCAAATGAAGTGGTCCCATGACAGCATCCCTGACCATGAGCAGCTAATCTTTATATCTACACTATCCCAGAAATGAAAGCTGTAGTAGCAGGTATAAGAGGCCTGTGCCAGCAGAGGTTTAAACACAGGAATCTCTGCTAACCATCACTTAGGAATGTCATTAGACAAGTTAGTGAGGTGCTGATGAATCAGATGGGTCGGGCTGTTAATGCTGCAGGTAATCAGCCACACCTGCAAGGGTTTGCCGCTACTCAACAAAAGCAGTGCAAAGCATTATCCTTTAAACGCCGCATAATCAGACAGTACAAGGCACGGTCACTGTGGAATGCCACACTTTCCTCACGCGAACATGTCATGTGTCCCTGAGCGAGATACTCTATCCCTCTCTGCTACAAGGCCATGTACTCCCGACTTCACAAGCAGGGGACGTATACATGGAGAGAATGTATGCGTGTGATAAATAACTATTATTTTTTGTTGTAGTACAAGTACGGAAAAAAAGAGAGCAGCCCAGTCCTCAAATCTGACCTCTACATATGCAGTACTTCGATAAAAGAGTTCATGGTTTTTTGGACAATTCTTCCTTTATACTATCTATCACTATGTGTATTTGTATGCTGATTTAGATTAAAGACTTTTTTTATTCACAAAGTAACACATTCAAGGGATTGTATAGCCTTGGTGGAGAGCACTCTCTAAAAGAGGAATAAGCTTGAAAAAACAGATGCAAACTAAAAACGTAAAAACAAGTGCAGATAATAAGTCACCCGATTACATTCACTGCGTCGTAAAAACAAGTGACAGCACCTGTTTGAAATCCTGACAATGCAGAAGGTAGGGCAACCGGTTCATTCACACAGGTGTCGGCGTGTTTATGAGCGGACACCAAATACAAGCACACTCCCTCCTCCTCCTCCTCCTCCTCGTCTGTCTGTTTTGTCTTTACAGAGACAGCATCAGACGTAAAGACTGTACTGAAAACCCCTACAGTAGCTGCTCTAATGGGATTCTGCAGCATGAATAAGGGAAACTCACATTTGACTTAGCTGGTGTAAAGCAAAGTACACACACCACACACGCGCACATTCACAGGCAAATTCCCCACACCAATCAGGTTAATGACGGGCACAGTTCAAATGATTTATAGCTTGTTTTCTTCCCTGCAGATGATGTGCAAACAACATTTTTTCCCCACTGTTGACACTATGAACAGTATTATCTCCTGTCCTGATATCAATAATGGATTTAATACTTTTGAACTAAACAATCAAACCTATTTTACAACACATCTATCAAAGTATGCCACTGCACAAGTAATACAAGACCAAAACATGAGAGATGCAAGGAAGAGGACCACAGATGAGGGCCTGCACTCACAACACAGTTCTTGTTCCAAGTCTCAATATTTATGAAGTTAATATGCGGGACTTTCCGATACTATCGGGCAGTCTTGTTGTTCAAGGCTGTGCTAACAGTGATCCACGATTGGGATCCCAGATGTACATGTGCTGCAGCACCAGATGGCTCGACGGGAAAGATCTGGTAAATCACTCAGATTAGTAATCCAGTTTACACGAGCACACAATCCCACTTAAATAAAGAGCAAATAAGAACAATGTCTTTCAGAAGATCAATTATACCAACTCATGTGGAGTGAAGTGTGGCACATACAATAACATACATTAAAACATATTGCAGACATGTGCTTGCATCACATAACGAGACCTGATGTGTGATCAAAAGCACAGCGAGGTTACACACACACACACACACACACACACACACACACACACACACCGAGCATTAATTAACAGTGACCCATGCTTTACAGTGATGCTACTAGTTCCCGTGTGTTGCCTAAGTTGAGTTAGTTACTTCTACTAAAAGTGATCACAAATTAAAAGAGGCTACTGTATTTCCAGGAGCTATCCAGCGCCCAGAGGAGGACTCGTAGGATGAATAGGCTACAGTGAAGGTGTAGCTAAAGCTAGCTGGCTAGCGACTGATATGCAAGTTTTACGCGCAGGAAACTCTCGCTGTTTACTCCTCCAACTCCATCCCTCCTCACCGAGGACAAGCGGTATCACGGAGAGGAACGACCAAGACACGGAGGGTATTTTTTAGTAAACGCAACCGAGACAAACTCTAGCTGTAAGTAGTTGTTGGGATAGAAGTTGCCAGGAAATTGGTACTCACTGTCGGTGCGCCTGAAATTTCCAGACAGCGTCCAGTCTGCAGTCCTGCCTCCTCCACGTAGAGACAAAAAGTAGAGACAGCAGTGGGAATGTTGGCCCCGCCCCGTCGACGACGTCACCGCCAGACGTTGACATCCGGCCTGTGGAGCAGTATTTGTGCAAAACAGCTACAGCTAAATATATGTATATTTAACAAAACGTCTTAGATTCTGAATTTAAAGAAGGTTAGTTCATAACAAAACGTTTTTAAAGAGATAACACAGTGTCTGTTTCTTCAGTTTAAAATTAGTTTGTTTCTAATGGATATTTGACCTTGGTTCATCCAAGTTATGTTGACTTAAAAGGATAATTCTGGATATTGATTGTTTGAATGTAACTAAGGCACCTCCAGTTTTAACTGATGCCATCTGGATGATGACTGAAAGTAACCTAGAGGGCATCAGATAAAAGTAAAGATGTGGTCCGAAGGCTGGCCCTGGAAGCAATAACGTCAGAATACACAAGCAGACTGAAGTCAGCTTGCAGTTGAAATTAGGAGTGTAGTAGCTGAAGAATAGTGTGCTAATACATTATTAATATCTAGACATCCATCAGTGAGGTTTCCTTGTAATGTAACCTATAGGGCCAGTTAAATAAATAGAAATATGCTATCAGCAGGGCCTACAAGAAGTCGTTGATGAGGTGGATCAATGATGATGGTTTTAGATTAAAAATAACAATGATGCGATTCAAAGAGAAGTTTACCTGAGGGTTCAAACATCATTGATTACTCATGGGCAAAGCATCAACAAAATAGTATAATTCAAAAAACAAACAATAACTATAATGAAGACCTGTCTGGCTAACCTGTGGAATGACTTACATAATTTACAGTGACATGAGATCAATACACATGATGGTATACACAGTGGGTTTGTTGACAGTGCTGATCATTTTGTTACTCTTATGTTGTGCATGCAAATCACTTTAGCAATAAACTCAATGCAAAAGCATTTACACGGTAGCAGTACAAGAAGACAATGTAAATGCTGCTTCTGCTTGTACTATGTTGAAGGGGAAAAGGAGTCCGGCTTAATGTGGGAAACAGCTCATAGAACTTTGCTGGAAAAGAGAAATGCAAGAAAGTCATTAAATGGTGAAAAAGTAGTGTGTTAATACTGATTGTATAATAATAGAGGAGGGTTTGAAGAAGTCATAATGACAAGAGCAGTCATCGAAATATTTTACTTGAAATATGAGGCACAGAGTGAGATGATGAGAGCTGAACTTAGGGACAAGGATACGCAAGTATTGACACTAAATAATATCCTGTTAAAGGACCAGTATGTAGGATTTAGGGGATCTGTTGTAAGAAATATACTATTCTCTTCATGCTCTCACGAAAAGGGAGGGGCGGGGGTATTCAGTTGGTTGCAATCTGCAACCTCACGGCTAGATGTCAGTAAATCCCACACACTGATCCTTTCACTGACATATAGGTGTTGTTTAGGAGAGAAACAATGATAGTTTTTAGGATACATTGTAGTGAAAGCACGTTAACACTAAGCCTAGTTAAAACTGCAAGGGATCCTATAAAAGCAGCCGTTTTCGTGAAAGAAACAGAAAATAAATGTAATACGTAATCCCCACTCCGGGGCAGCAGGTGGCGGTGATGAGCAATATGTTGTCATTGTAGGTCACGCGTGATAACAAAATAACTAAATGAAGAGAAAGGGACCATTCACTGGTCATTCACACGCCTCTTTATAGTTTTGCTTTTGCTGCTGGTGGAATTGTGAGCGCAGGTTGAGCGCCACGTTTTTACTAGAATATATCGGTGTCATGCAAGTATAAGTACTTGAACGACTGCTTCACTTGCTTCGCGATATGTCTGCAGCGATGCTGAGGTAAAAACTGCGGACGGAAACGCGGTGCTCTCTAAACGAACGTTACTCCCGAGTGTAGAACTGCGAGCTAGCATAGCACCTAGCTAGCTGTAGCAGCTAACAGCTATCCGGAATGATGCCATAGATAATAATAATAATTCAAAATTAGTTAACCTAGCTGATAACCTCTGACACAGCACGTGAGGTCAGGTGATTTAGAAAAAGGTGTTTTCTTAACGCCTTAGCGATAACGTTCGCGTTAATGCTAGCTAGCTATTTTCTTTCGCAGCTATTGCTACATTAAATGTTATTGCTAGGGTTACTTGGGGTGAGTTGAACGTAACCTAACGTAGTGCGTGATAACGTTATGCACCCAGTTGCCAGCTAGGTACACCTGACTAGAAAGAGTGCAGTCTAATACAACATGTCGTGCAGTAAATATCCGTGAAGGTTATAATATCTTAACTCTTATGCCATCTTTGGGGCTGCAGTTTGGTGCTGTTGAATTTGAATTGCGTCATGTAGCTAGCTAAGTAGGTGTTTTGAGGGCCCAGAAGACCAGATGAAATCAGTAATCTCAAAAGTTGATATCGAGTAAATTGCCCTCAAAAGTACCACAACTCACTCGACCCAAGTTTTCAATATGAGTTGTGATGTTTCACTGCAACACATAATGTCTTACATCAACACAAATGCACAATCACCTGGAGTACTGAGAGCTTTCGACTGTATCTGGTGTCCTGCAGTGTGGGTCAAAAGCTGCATTGCTTGTGTCATTCATCCCTCTTTCTGGAAAGCTCAAATGCAACACTAATGAAACATGATAGTCTCTTTACATATTCCACTACTAATGCATGCATTGGACTATAAACGTTGAGATGTAGATGTTTGATGAGTTTTAAGTTAACGTTAAATAGTATCTTGGATGATAAACAGTTGATTCCACCAAATTCACTTCATATTACTAACAGTATTAATCAGGCTTTTTAAGTAAATTTTGATTAACCAGCTAGCCACTTCTAACTGACAAGTTAACCAAAAACCATGTTGTTTTCTTGACTGTAGCACCACTACAAGCAAGCTGAATGTATTGGTCAACAAGCTGCACGAGTACTTGGCTCATTCTCCTGTTGAGGACAGCAATGGAGCACCGACCTCAGAGGATGCAGATGGTACACTTTTCTTTTCTTTTACTCTAATAATGCGTAATTGAAAAATCATATTTCTATAATCTGCATATTTTCATGCTTTATAAACAACTGTAACATATGTTATTACAGGTCGGACAAACAGGAGCTGTTCTGTGGGGAACTCAACAAGTCGTGCTGCAGCAGTGGTAAGTAAACATTCTTGCAAGACTAAATCAAAGCTAGATACTTGAAGTGCCCATGCTAAACTTGCATTAGAAAAGTGGATAATAATGTTTGTTAATGAAATTACAGTTAACTCACAAACAAGAAAACAACACTTATTTCAGTTGCCGCCGTTATAAAACAAAGACCAGAGTGAGCGACTATTACATATTAGTAATCATGTGAGGATGTACAGCTCATGACCAGGGTTCAAAATGAACACTTGTCAGTTGCCAAATGCGAGTAAATGTAGTCTTTGGTGTGTAAATTATGGAAACCACCCACGACTCTGGCCAGTAGAAACTAATGAACTTCCTGACAGCTGCCCTCTCGCCTGTAATCCTGCTCATCCCCAGCTCTCCGTAACTCTGTGCGCCGCCATCAGAAGACAATAAGACTATATTTTGAGGTTCATAATATTTACCTGAATACACACATATGTAGGATATTACTACAGACAAGCTGGCAGTGATGTTGTGGAGACTTCTAGCCACTAAACTACACCATTACCTCTGATTATGCTTACATGTTAGCCATATCTTTTTGTTTTAGATAACGGGAATGTAATGCAATGTTTTCTTTTAAAGTTGCAGCCCATTGCTGTTTTATTAATCTCCCATGGTTTCTCCCTTCTACTCAATGAATAGTTGTGGTCTAACTCCCTGGAGTACACAGTTATCTGTACTTCCTATTAATTCAGTATTCTAGCAAATTGAGATAGTGGTATCTTACCGCTTTATTTACGACATTCATAGTCTCCTAGAATGAAATTGTTCTCATAAACCAAGGACTAGCTGCTGAGTGAGCAACCCCCTTTGGGACATTACTTAGATATTCTAAACACCACCATTGACATTGATTACTAACTGAAACTAAACTAATAAAATGTCTTTCTTTGAAGGCAGGAGTGGATACCAAATACTCAAGGAGGTGAGTCAGTATTTCATATTTATCCTGCAAGCATAGATATCAATCAGTCCAGATGTAATGCCCAAATATTTAATGCAGCTCATTGCTGAAAATACTGCATGTTGAACTGAAGTTAATGCAATGTTTAGCAATTAGGAGGCACGCTATTTGTGCTGGAACCAAGTGAAAGTTGTTGCTTAAAAAAAAACCATCCTTTTTCACTTTGAAAGTACACTGCAGACCTGAGGGGACTGTTGCTTGACGCTACATGTTTTCTGTTTCACTGATGTATCAGAAAACCATCTGTCGTCGTAAAGCACTCTGGACTGGATGAATCCGGGGACTCGAATGCGAGTGAGGATGTGGATTTACCAGTTAATGCAAACGGTCGCCTCGACATCACCAGATTACCAAAAGGTAGGCCTCCACTTTCCCCGCATTATAGTTTCCCTGTTTACTCTGCCTCATAACGTTTCTGCAGTGCAATTAATAATTACACATTTGATAATGATGGAATGTCTTTGATCCATTGGGGATGTGTTTTTGTTTACACAGGCACTGTACTGGTGAGGCCTGAACCTGTTGACAATGGAAGAGACGACTTCAGGGGTCCTGAGTTTCGCAGCCGGAAATCAGGCGTACTGCGGAAAGAGTTTTCCAGAAGACGCGGAGGTCTGTCACTACTGCTTGATATTGTCATAACATTGCACATCACTGATTATGACCAATTATTACTGAAACAAAAAGGAGACACGTGCTGGGGTTACCCATCCATTGATTGCCTGTGGACAAAAGACACAGACTGAAAAACCCACTCCATTTAGAAAATTCAAAATACGGCTTGGTCATCATCTTGATGTGAGAGAGAGAGATCAGTGGATACTCAGACTTTGACGTTATTAAAGCCATGTTTTCACTAATGACAGTGGTGTCCTTTTACAGGAGTTGAACACATGGAAATTGTCAGTTGCACTGCATGTGGCCGACAAGTTAACCATTTCCAGAAAGATTCCTTCTTTCGACATCCAGTCCTGAAAGTACTGATTTGCAAGGTGAGTCTGCTTATTTAAATGTCTGAAACAAATCCTCAATGTTCTGTAACCATACATCTTATCTTATCATTATGAAGTAAATGTTGATTGCTCAGCGTTATGGCTTTAGAATAATGACACCATCGATATTGAGATTGGTTCATTATCAGCCTCGCTTTCACTTTGCATTTCTGATGGCGATTGAGTTGCGCCTAAAGAGTCCAAAATGAACCAGCCCCACATGCGGGCAGATATTATGTTTGGTAAATAAATCTGGAAAGGTCATCTGACGCACTGGTTGTGCAATTAAAAACTGTGCAGAACTGCGTTTTGGTGTCATTTACAGACATTTAGTGCTTCTGTCCTTCGCTGTCATTGTGGGAGTTTGGCAAACACTCACACATACCAGCATACGTTTTAATGTGCGTCCAAAAGGTGCTGCAAAACTGACCGCACTGAGTGCTTCTAGTTTCTCGGCACTGTTTAACAGGCACGTCCATTACTCGGCTAAACTATCACTTGCATTTCACCGGCGTCTTGTTTCTCTCCTGTCATGGTGGACTGTTCCATCTTACATTGCAAGATTCTTCTTCTTTAAATTGAGCTTATAATTACTTATAAAGTTACTGACATCATAACACGGAGGCTCCATAGTCTGAACCAAGACTGTAAATGGTTGCTGGCAGTGGTTTCAGCCTGGAACTGAAACCACTGTCTCTGAATTTGCCACAATCACTTTTCACGACCGTAGGCGCCCACGTCCATCACATGCAGCCATGAGAACAACAGAGTGGGTCCGTTGTGTAGTTGAAGTATTTGCTGCCGGACTTTGGAGGTGCTTTGAATTGCACTCGTTTTCCATCGCTGGCGCCCCCCAACAATGGAAAGTTCCAAATCATCCAGAAATCTCGTGCTGTGTCCGCCCTCTGTGTTTGGGAAGGCAAGGCAACAAACTCCAGCTTGGCTAACCTCCAGGAATAATCCGTGACACGGTGCTATATCTCAATCTGCAACTTGCCGTTATATTGTGCTGTGAAAATCTGAAAAACGGCGAAAAAGCGCAGACTTTCAGCTACATTCACAGGAGCTCTGTGTTTATTTTGTTTTGCTCAATATGAGGGCCAATGTGACGCACCAGTTCAGCAAACGTTAAAGCTGGCATCCAGAAGTACTGGTGTCTCTCCCAGTCGATACTTCTCATCTCTTGCATCAATATGCTGTATTCCCCGTGTCTGGTCTAACATATTTATATTTCCTATAGAATTTGGTTTACATTTGTTTTGTTAATTAAGAAAATCTTCATGTTTGTTAAATACTTTTGTCCACACTCTCTGCAACTCTTCCATTTACCATTTTATTTTTGTCAGTCTTGCTACAAGTATTACTCAAGTGATGACATCAGCAAGGATGGAGATGGAATGGATGAGCAATGCAGGTAAGATTTGTTCTATTAAGCATTTTAACTGAAGTATAAACATCTTACATTGTGCTAAACTTACTTGTGTTTTTATTGTCTTTCTTTTTCTCTCATGCAGATGGTGTGCCGAAGGAGGCAACTTGATCTGTTGTGACTTCTGCAGCAATGCCTTCTGCAAGAAGTGCATTCTGCGAAATTTGGGACGGAAGGAGCTGTCTGGCATCTTGGAGAGCAAATGGTACTGTTATGTGTGTAGCCCGGAGACCCTGTTTGACCTGGTGGTGGCCTGTGACAACGTGCTGGAGAACATGGAGCACCTGTGGTATCAGCAGCGCAGGAAGAACCGCGTGGAGCCGGAGAAGTCTGAACTTTACGCCATGTTGCCACACCTGCCACAAAACCTTCCGTTGGATAAATGGGATCACACCGGAATGGACGGTAACGTGGTGTTCAACTATAACACGCTGCACGTTTCCAAGGACGTCACCAAAAAGGCCAAACATTTAGTGGACTCGACGAACATCTTAAACCGGACCTTTGTCAACTTCATTCATACTGTGACAACAAACAAACAAGCCCCCGCTGTTCGCAATCTGTACCTCAACTCTTTCTTGTCGGTAGTGAAAGGCTTGCGAAAATCCCTCGCGGCACTCGAGGATAGCCTGAAGGAAGAATTCAGTGACTTGGATGTCTTGAGCTGTTGGGAAAAGTTCTTCAACGATGACTTTGATGCACAGCCTGTAACCGATGCAGACACAGAGCCTCACAAAAAGTGCTTGAGTGACTTGCAGAAGTTAGCAGCGGAACATCTGGAGGGTTATGATTCGGACTCCAAAGGCTTCCCGGATGGGAGAACTGCACACGCCGGCCCTGGGAAAACCATGGATTCAGATCCACATGTAGCGAGACAGAGGGCACAAAAGATTGGCCTGAAGCCTTCTGAGAGCGGGGTCAACATGACGAAGAAACTAGTAGTGAAACTTACACCTGTACCAATCGAGCAGGGGCCATCCTCTGATGCCCCAGAGAAGGACGTCCACACGAACGATAAGAAGTCGGAGGGAAAGGAAGTCTCGGATGCTGAAGAGACGGGTGTTGTAGGTGCCAAAGCTGACAGCAAGATGAGTACTGACAACTCTAATGCGTCCCTACACCCGGAAGAGGAACAGGGCAACAGACGCTCTCCTCGCGTGAAGACGACACCGTTGCGCCGACCGAGTGACGTCAAGGCCAAGAAGTCTCGCTCGACAGTAGACAGCGACAGTGACTCCGACCCCGAGGAAACCTCCAGCTCAGCACCAGCCAAAAACACCGAAGAACAAAGTGTGAACAGAGCAAGAGACGACTCTGACTCGGATGAAGTCCCTGCCGCTCTGCTCGAGCGAGCAGCTGTAACGCAAAGCTCCGATGAACCCCAGAGTGACGAGAATGGCGGAGAAGCGTCAACGAAGGTGACCAAGAAATGTCTCTTTTGGCTCACTAAGAACACCCCGATGTCACCGGAGAAGATGCGGCGCAAGCGCAAAATGTTGGAGCGCTCCCCCGAGTCTGACTCGAGTAACAGACGGGTCAAGTCACGAAGGGGGAGTGGGACGGATTCCTCGAGTGATGATCAAGATTCACAGAAGAAAGTACAACACTTGAATACGCTGAGGCCAATCGGGAAGTCTCACCTCGTCAAGCGAGAAGAAGAAGGCGGGGCTAGAGCGCAGGGAAGGATGCAGGCTGGGAAGTCTAAGGCTAAATCTGACGGGAAAGAAATGGAGTCGCCATCCTCCTCAAGCGACGACGGTGATGCTGACGACGACGACGAAGACGACGACTCTGGGAGTGAAGGAAGTGATCAGAAGATGAAGCCAATCACTGAAGATGTGGCCTTAATGGGGGCAACAGCATTCCACCAATCATCGGGTGAGTCTTATATTTATTATTGTATATCTAGATCTACAGTATATCTTGTCAATGAATATTAGTAGATTGCTGTAGGTTTCCTGGTGGAAAGCTAAAAGCTATAAGCAGAAATGTGATTGTATCAGAATCTTTAATAATACACACACACACACACACACACACTCTTATCCGTTCACCCGTTCTTTGATCGTAGATGTAATCACTCTGCTCAAACAACAGAGTAATTAATTTTCCTCGTGTCTTTGTTTTTTGCAGGAGATGAGGAGCAGTCTGGGCCCTCGTGGGCAGCAGAAGATGATGATGATGATCCAGAAAATAGGTATGGTTCAAAAAGCCCGGATGTAGAGTTAGTAAAACACCCTGTATGTAAAAAAAAGGCAACTTTGAACCCCAAACCCCAAAAATCGAGCAGCACTCGTGTGATTCTGACTCATTTGCGGTCTAGTCAATCAAGACCAAAGCGTAGCTGCAGCAGAGGCCCAGCAATCAAATACACATGGTAGAGGTACTCTGTTAATCAGATGGCCCACACTATGACACACTGAGCCTGGATGAGGCTTCTGAATGAGAGGCAGCACACTCTGCTTGTCTGTGTGCTGTTCTTTTGAACCTAAATGGTATTGCTTTTCATTTTTCTTAATACAGAACACACATAGAATGCTTGTCTATGTTTTATTTACTGTGCAATCCAGTATACATGTAAATGATAGAGATTTTATTATTAATATTATATCTTATACCTGACATGATAATCTGAAACAAAAGGGAAACCCGTGAAGAGGTCCGAGAAATACTTTTGAACAAATGAACTTATTTAGCGTTACGGCTCCGCCTGTTTTCAATGAGAGTATTTGAACAAATGTAAAACGTTTTGAACTTCCTCTTATGACTTCTTATACAATGCACAAAGAACTGTTGTCCTCCAGTCAGCAGCACTGTTGACTTAACTGCTATTTACAGGTGAAGTACAAAGATTGAAACATGCCTGTCAGATTCTCTGCCCACATTTACGTTAAGTATAAAATTACAAGTATTATTTTTCAATCAACCAAAACTTTTAAGCATGTAAACAACTTTTATGCTTCACCTTGAAACCCATATTTTTGATTGTTATGCTTTAATTATAATAAGATGGCAAAAGTATTGTTTGTTAACATATCTGATACAATGTACCTGGCTCTGTAAATGCAACTTAGCTTTATGTTATTCAGCTTTTCTGTTCTTTTACACACATTTCCTTCCTTTTTAATTTTGGACACAGAATATATTGAGTAATTATTTAACCACACATTTACTTTCGGCTACCGTTTCATGACTTTGGTTTGCATTTGATGCCAGTGCTGATACATTATGTCAGAGTGTGATTTATTACTTTTGTTTTGAAAAAGACGATAATGAAGGTAATGAACTTAATCGGGCTTCACTGTCCGACAGCCACACAGAATTGGAACATTTGTAAGCACAGAAAATGTTTCTGGTAATAAACACCCAAAGCCTCACCCAAACACCGTCAACATTTGTTATATTTTCTCTCCACTGATATCAAGTTTTCTAATATACAAATCATGGGGAGACGCCAACGTCAACCAGCTGCAGTTGAAACGATTTGAAGTGCATTTCGATAGACCTTCCTCTGGTATTTACACATGGTCACCATGATGAATACTCCCGGTATGCAGTCTCTTCTTTTATAACTATTTCATATGCAAGCTACCAGCTCTGGAGTCGAGAAATAGTTTTTTTTCTGCGGTTCCAGAAACTACAAATACGAGTCCTTCTGGGCTGCTGGCACTCCCACAATCCCCCCTAATGTAGTTCACAGCAGGCTTTATGGCAGAATGACACTCTGGAGGTCTGGAGTGCTCATTTGTACCATTAAATAGACACATCCGGTGTATCACTGGCTTCACTGACAGTCAAATGTCTCAACTAAAAGCCTTTAACATGAGAACGAGGTACTGTTTCCCCAAACTATCTCAATGACCAGATCACATCCGTCCCATTCTAAATATTTGGGCGGTGATGTGTGGAGTTGCTGTTCAGCCTTTAGTGGTATTTATTGGTGTCACATTGCTGCTACTACTGCCTTTACATACTTATGCAGCACTGACCTTAGCTAACATCTGTATCTATTACTGTTAGAATATTTGAGATGCAGAAAGTGCTGCTGGAGTTTGGGAACATGCACTTTTGCACATGTGAAATATGCTATAGTGGTGATAAGAGGGCTGGAGATCTTTCAGTGTTTTCTACTCGTAGATGTCAGAGACGGTTTTATTTCTCTGACATTGCTGCTTTCACAGAGATTCTCTTCAAGAGTTGTGTCTCTCAAGTTACAAACAAGTATTTTCCCGCTGCTTTACCTGAAGTAGTGTCTGTCGAGCCGTGCACACAGTCTCTGTTTTATCTGCGGAGGATTTGAGATATTTCAGATTTCTGGATGAAATTTTGTTATTGCTGCTCAAGGCCATTAACAACAGCACAGGGTTTGTGTGGAGGTTCTGGCGTCAAAATAGGTCATGTGACGTACTCCGTCCAAGAGAGACCCTTCCACATGCATACCGTTACAAAAGATGCGGTCATAAAAAGATCTATTGTCACATGCAAAAACTTTTTTTTGCCATTCATGTGTTGTTTGGCTGGCCTGGGAACGCCTCAGTTGTGATATGTGATATGTGCCCAGTAAGTAAGGCACTGTCTTTGTTAATCAAAATACTTTACAGTCCTCGTGATGACACTCATCGGAAGCTTTAAGTGCTCAGTCTTACCACTGGAATATCTCAGAGCATACATCGGACACATTCTGTGTATCACTAGCTTCATTGTCTGTCGAGGGTCTCCAGTAAAAGTTCCTAACAGGAGACCCTGATTCCAGATATTATATTTAATGACCAGTTAGTATAAATCCCATTCTAAATATTGGGGCTGCTCATCTTTCCTCTCGTTTAGTGGTATTTATTGAAACCGATCATCAAAACCCGCACCAGTGTTTTTGTATGTTTTACCCCACTTTCTATACACAGAATATACATTACTGCTGACCATTTTTCTAAAGCATACTGTAGCTTTTAAAACTAAAGAGTGACATTTTTATCGTATTCAAACTCGCTGACCAGCTGTTGCGTTTTTCTCCAGCAATGCAGATAAAAACAATTTGTGTTTAAAAAAAAACAAAAAACAACCCAAAACCTTCGGGGTCAGTGCTTTGAAATGGGACCGTTGTATATCTGAGGATTGAGAGTGGGTTGTGAAACAACTATTATGCAAAGAGCGACCAAATTGACATTGTGCCTTTTTAATGACATCCATGTTTGTTTCTCATGTTTTTTCCAGGTTGGATTTTCTGACAGCACAGCAGTGAATGCAGTGCTGTTAGGCAAAGATCACTTAAATCTGGGATATCGTAGCCTCCTATTGGCCCGTTTTCTTTTTCTTTTTTTCTTCAGAAGTCTGTTTTCAGCTGAAGTGAAAGCACAACTTTATCGTTAGGAGAAAAAAAAATGGTCAGCAGAAATGTAAAGTTTACCTTGTTCATAGCTAGTGGGCTAAAACTGTGTTATTCCATTGAAATCCACACAGCATGCGATTACCAATGGCCGATGATGCCAAAAATCATGTGTGGCTGTATGTTCATTCTCTACAGTGTTTTTCTGTTTCGTCCTATTTCCCAGTTGAGGCATGTCTAAATGAGATCCGGGGCTCTGGCCCGTTACTGCTGCTGTCGTCTGGCAATATATACACGTCTTTGACTGTAAACTCTCACAAAGACATTGGATTAAACATCTGTGAAAATGGCAGTTTGTCCTCTCCCCAGTGACCTGCATTGACAACCACACTTTGAGATCAGACCTGTGCGTGTAATGCAGGTTGACCAGAGAGTAGAGGAACTCGAGCCAGACGCATGGAAGCTGTTTGACTCTCGGCTGTATCGCGTGTAATTACAAGTCCGCTCCGTGTTGTGAAATGCGTGTTGAACGCAGGTAGATGTAGAAGAGGGTAACTCATTGAATGTACTAAAACACAATATGGTATTGAAACCATGAGCTTTTTCAATTTAGGAAACATGAACTGTATCAGGTTATGTGCATTATTTGCCTCATTTTTTAAACCTTTATTCTCCACCGGAGTAAAAAAGGGTTAATTAAGAGCCGTTGTAATTAGTTTCTTTCTGAGTAAATATTTATCTATAAACGTTGTTAGTAATTGAGTGTTTGTGTCTCACATGTTTTTCTCTTGTCTTTATTACAACAATAATTGGCTGGTAGCACCAGAGGAGCCGGTTGCCTTCCAGTCAGCTCTCGGTTTGTGTTCAGAAAGACCTGACGCTCTTTTAACTGAGTCACGACTGGATGAACAAGAGATGAATGCAACTTTTATTTTTCACATGGAAAAAAAAAATGGAGTAGTGTCTGTTACAGACTCGAGCAAGCGGAAAACATTGTAGGAAATAAAACTCTCCCTCCCCTTGCCCCAAAAGGAGAATAAAAACGTATGTCTCTCTGTTTTTTTTTTTCTGTGAAGAATACTTGTTGTAATAAATTCTTACTCTTAAATACGTCTCCGTATCATTTTTCCCGCTGGCATTATTTTACATGTATGTCTTCCAGTGTTGTGCCAGTTCACTTTAATTGGTCTGTGACTTGACTAACAGAGCTGTAATTTGGCACATCAGTCCAAGACTATTATTGACAGATGTGGATTACTGAAGATATCTGATTGGAGTTATGATTTATTAATCAGCTGAAGGACTATTGACTCATAACCAACACTAAAAAAAGAAAACGCTTATTTTAAGTCCAAAATCTAATAACATTTGATTGTGATTTTGCCTTCGAGTGTAACAATATCCAGCTGCAGACGATGTTTCTGATCATGAAATGAACTTCAGGTACCTTTTCCTTCTTTTCCACTTTTGAAAGAATCGCTAAGAAAATGCTCTTGGCCCAAATCAAAGCCAACTACTCGTCGGGCGATGATATCTCTTCGGATGAGGAGACGCAGGAGGAGTCGGAGGATGAGAAGAAAAAACAAGGAAATGAAGATAATGAAACGGATGTAAATTGTAAGTATCTTTTTTTTTTTTTTTTTTAAGTAGCACATATCTAGCTTTTCACTTGTGCATTTTATTTTTTTTAAATAAGCACAGGTATTCGTTTTCCTTTTTTAATCCTATTGATCTATTGTAGATTTTAACATTTGCATTTTTTAACCAAAGTTGTGGCTAGTTGTGAAAATGTAAAATGATACAATCTCTGCTGCAGGGGAGGAATTGACTTCAGACTCGTCCAACACCGCGTCTAATGGGCCCAACTCCAGGCACCACCACCTCCTCCGCCTCAAACTCACCTTAGATGAGGGAGCACCGAGTGACGAGGCTGTGGCCGAGAGCGCAGTAGCAAAGCCGGAGGGCAAGCAAAGAGCCGGCAGCAAACACCTGAGCTGTAAGGACGCTTCTAACCATAGAAACCCAAACTGTCTTTAACCTACTTTGCATTAATGTCTGACTTCGATATCTGTCAAGCTGATAGTGAAAGTGATGGGGAGGATGATCTCGGGATGAGCGAGGAGCTGAGTCAGTCAGAGGATGAGGCCGGTGGAAAGGGACCCAAAAGGTACATGCCATCGATTAAATCAAAAAACGGTAACAATAGCTCAAGTAAAGTAGGGTGACAGTCAGCAGACTGACTCAGTAATGTCTTAATGCAGCAATATCTGTCTAAAGTCTGCTGATGTTAGACCGACGGACCTCCTTTGGACCACATTTAACTTCATATTGCCGTCTGAAAAAAACAAATGTATTTTCCGCCGCAGTGGCCCACACACACAGGTACCTATGTGTGATATGTACTTAGTTCATTTTAGTTTCTTATTCTCTCTTCTTTTTATTTCCAGTGTATCCGGTAAAGTGAAGGGGGCCCACCGTAGATTCAAGCGAAAGAAACCGGTGCCCTGCATCTGGTTGTCTGACTCCAACAGTGAAAAGGTCTGATGTCATAACCAAATGGCTTATTCGTATTTATATTATTTTATCTGTAGCTGTTCACCTCTGATGCTGATACTCTGATGTCTAACGGTCATATCGCTTGGTGGTTCTTAACTGCATTTGAGCAGAGTGACGAAGAGGATGCAGACGGGGAGAACAGCGACGGCAAAGGCACCCCCAAAGGACGCAAAAAGATCCGCAGAATCATTGACGACGATAATCTCCGTGCTGAGACCCAGGAAGCCCTCAGAGAGGAGCAGGAGCGATGCAAACGTCTGGCAAGCAGGGATCAACAGATGGACGACAGGAGAGAGGTAGTGCAACACACAGCAGGTCCAACAGACCATTGAACCTCACTGTGTTAGTTACAGTCATTTAAAGCATTGCTGCAGCATTAGATCCGTTATCCCTGTTGATAAATGACCACGATTGGGGTTTTCTAAGGGGAGGACCAAACAGACAAAATGCCCACATTTGTTTTCCAGATTATTGATATAACGGATGATCCGTCTCAAGTGGAGGGCCCCATCACCACCAAGCTGATCCTGGATCAGGATGAGCAGACCAAAAACCCTCTTGTTCAGGTGCACAGGAACCTGGTGATGAGACTGAAGCCTCACCAGGTGGACGGTTAGTTTGTCTTTTCAATCACACTGATCAATCGCCAAAAAACACAGCTGGTCTGCTGGATTTCAATGGCAACATTTTGGCACACTGGTTCGTCTGTAATGGGTGTGACATTCAGCCATTAATGCTGATTAGTACTGCTGCATATTTTCAGGGTTAAGTCCAAGTTTTGTGTTCAGATGAAACGTAACTGGCCATGTTCTCTTTGCGCTCTAACGCAGGGGTCCAGTTTATTTGGGACAGTTGTTGTGAGTCTGTGAAGAAGGCCAACTCTTCTCCTGGAACAGGCTGTATATTGGCACACTGCATGGGCCTGGGAAAGACTCTGCAGGTGAACACATATCCACTCTCAATATTCTCATTTGCTTTCATTGATGCAGAAAAAATGAATACAGCAAACATTTCAGCACCCTGAAATTCATTATTTTAGTGCTTGTTCATCACCTATCTTAAACTATGCTTTAATGACTACGCTTCATATTCATGTCTGTGTTACGTTATAGGTGGTAACTTTCCTCCACACGGTGCTGCTGTCGAAGAACCTGAAATTCAGAACGGCGCTGGTCGTATGTCCGCTCAACACCATCCTCAACTGGATCAGCGAGTTCAAGAAGTGGCAAAGCGACATGCGACAGGATCAAGTAAAAGTATGCAAAATCACAAATGGGCAATACTTGATTTTTCTGCCTCAGATGCTTTATGCCTTCCACTTGGTGGTTAATGTTCAGACGCAGCAAATATGTTTCAGGTCACAGAACTGGCCACATTAAAGCTTCCAGGCCGGATCAGGGCTCTGCGGAGGTGGCGCAGAGAGGGAGGTGTTATGATAATGGGGTATGAGATGTACCGCAACCTGTCACTCGGCCAGAAAGTCGGGGATGAGGAGGCCAAGAAAGAGTTAAAGAGCATACTGGTGAATCCAGGTACAGTAACGGTGTCATGGCATGATATCATTAGAAGGTTTTGTGTGTCATTGAAACTGTTTAAATCCGTTTTCTCTCCTGGGTTTTTTCCTTCAGGTCCAGACTTTGTGATTTGTGACGAGGGACACATCCTGCGCAACGAGCGAACCAATATCTCCAAAGCTATGAATGCCATCAAGACCAAGCGGAGAGTGGTGCTAACTGGCACACCACTACAAAACAACCTGAATGAGTGTAAGTCTGCAGCACTACGTCATATTCAGTATACCATGAGATCACACTTTGTTTGAAAGGATGTAGAATATATGCATCTGAATATATATATATATATATATATATTATTTAAATTGCCATTTTTAAAAGTTTCTGGTGAAATGAAAAGGCAGCTAACCTAGGCCTACCAATTTTATTTATGTAACAGCATTTTTATTATTTTGTATAACTTGAACTTGTTATTCCCGAAGACACTGAGAATTGAAAAATACTACATTAAATATATATAAATAATACTTACTATATTAAATACTATTAATAATGTGTTTATGCGTGCTAGCTTAACAATAAATGTTACATTTTGTTTATTTGTGTGTTTAGAATATTGCAATCAGTTGATATGACTTCTTTAACTTCATAATCTTATACTCACTTTAATCTGCTTTCATGCCATCATTTTCCACACAGCGGACTTGAGTAGATCATGAAATTAGCTTCCCTATGCACTGAATCAAGCATTTATTGTTGAACTGTGACCCCGAGAATCTAAATCGAATCATGAGCTATCAAGAGAGTCCCACCCCTAATATTGATGCATCTTATTTTGCTCCCACAGACCACTGCATGGTCAATTTCATCAAGAGGAACCTGCTCGGCTCGCTGGGCGAATTCCGAAACCGCTTCATCAACCCCATACAGAATGGCCAGTGTGCCGACTCCACGTCAAGAGACGTCCGAATCATGAAGAACCGAGCACATGTGCTTCATGCTATGCTGGTTGGATGTGTGCAGGTAAAAACAATACTGCACACTGAATATGTACACATACAGTTAGCTTTTATATTTCAGCTCTCTCAACACTGTGTCCATCTTTGTTTCCTAGAGGAGAGATTACTCTGAGTTGACTCAGTTCCTGCCTCCCAAACACGAGTATGTGCTGGCAGTGAGGATCTCCCCGCATCAGTACAAGTTGTACCGCTACTACCTCGACCACTTCACCGGTAAGAGTCTTCACTTTTTTCACTCTAAGGAATGCAGATATACTCATTTTAAGTATACGTTTTTTTGTTTTTTCTGTCCTATGACGTGCCAATCGTTTCACTAAAGTATCTATACATTTAAAGAGAGTTGTGAAGATATAGTATTGATTCATCTTTCCATAGCTCTAGTTTAGCCTTTAAGGGGCTCAATGTATCGCCTCCACATGGCTCTCAACATGGATCTTTAACTTTAAAATGAATATAGCGGTAGAACCCAAGTCTGGCAGAAGAGTGAAAGTTTACTCATAACTCATCCAACTCAGTTACACTCAACTCACTGAAATATCAAAGGCTGAGATATGATGATCATCAACTGATGACAAAAAGGAAGTTAACGTCAGCATTGCTGTTGTTCCCTAAAAAAATGCTGTTTCACCGATGTTGGACCATCTGAAGTATATATACATGTTTGTGTTTCTCCAGGTATGAGCTCCGTGATTAACGCACCTAAGGTGAGAACCGGAGCAAACCTGTTCAAGGACTTTCAGGTGCTCGGCCGAATTTGGACTCATCCCTGGTGCCTTCAGCTCAGCCACATCAGCAAAGTAAACAAGGTACAGCAACAACAATCACCACGCGATGGAACGCTCGTTGATTTATTATCAGTCGATCTTAAGCGTTTCATATTTGAATCAACACTTAACTGGATTTTTATAGGAGAACAATTGCGATAAGAAGAACAAAACGAAAGCGACAGCTCTGCAGAGAAATGAAGAAACCGCTGCGGCTGAGAGGTGAGACTTATTACGATGTGATAATCTAGACTTTCACAAATCATCATCACCTCATTTGTTTCTCATTAAATCTTCTGCACATCTAGTGGTTTATGAAAATAGCTCGACTGTGTGATCTTTTATGTGCCTTTGAAAGCCGTGTTCATTCAGTTGAATTATGTCTTCCTGTAATTATAAATACGCAAAACCTTTTAAAATAACATGTTGTGTAGATTGGTGCCAAACAATACGTCAAGTCTGGAACAACAAACTGAAAGAAAATCAGAAGTACTTTCTGAATCCACTCTGGTTCAATTAAACTGCTTAAAGTTCTCAACCTTATTTTATGAGATATATTATATTTATGAACTCTTGATTCCCTTTCTTTGCCCGAAGTAGTGGACTGAGAGAGAACCAAGCAAAAGAAGGGAATAACAATGACGGCAGTGCAGTGTCCACAGGCGCCGCAGCAGTGGACGGTATTAAAACTCCCATTTCTCACTAATAGTCCCACCCTGAAGGTTCGCACACTAAAATATTTGTTTCTGTGAAGGAGAGAAAGCAACCATGAGCTTGAGGTCTCAGAGTCTGGATGAGGTCTGGTTCAAGAATCTGCTCTCTGAAGAAGACGCCAAAATCATGGAGCACTCGGGGAAGATGGTGCTCTTGTTTGAGATCCTCAGAAAGGCTGAAGAAGTGGGCGATAAAGTGTATGTTGCTCTTCTAATCTAAAGGCAAATCCAAACAAAGACTTTAAGCGGTCTGATAAACACTGGCTCGTCCTCACATCTCACCAAATCAATGTGCTTTTGCATTTCTAGGCTTGTGTTTAGTCAGTCTTTGATCTCGTTAGACCTGATTGAGGATTTCCTCAAGGCTTCTCACAATGCCCGAAACCCATCGTCATTCAAAGGTATTCTGTTTATGGCAAATAAGATATTAATTCATAAAGGGAACATCCTCCTTGATGGTGCTTCACTTCTGATTGTTGTGCTTCATTCTGACAGCGGGCAGCTGGATTAAAGACGTTGATTACTATCGACTCGACGGCTCCAACAACGCTGTGTCGAGGAAGAAATCGGCCGATGAGTTCAACAATGACTCCAATTTTCGGTACAGATCATCTGACTTTTGTTTCAATCTTTCTATGTTGATTAGACTGAAATAAGATCCGGACAGAACATTTCAAATTGTCCAGACAAAGTTTGTCTTCTGATTGATTGTTCTCTGTTTTTAGCGGCCGATTATTTCTCATCTCAACGAAAGCCGGCTCACTCGGCATCAACCTCGTTGCGGCCAACAGGGTCATCATCTTCGATGCCTCGTGGAATCCCTCGTATGACATACAGAGCATCTACAGAGTGTACCGCTTCGGTCAGCTCAAGCACGTGTTCGTCTACCGCTTCTTGGCTCAGGTGAGCTCCCCGCCATCTATAGCAGCCCATTTACAGTTTGTAGTGCGGAATAGTTGTTTTATCTATTTAAGTTTTAACATGCTTTTCCATGAATACAGCTATAAATTACCAGTTGACAAAATGCAAAGCTTCTTGACACTTTCAGTTCTGCTCCATAAATGAATGTTAGTTTTGTTCTGTCTTTCCCTCAATCTTTGCTGTTTTTATTTAGAAACACTGGATAGTTCTTTTGAGGGCAGTAAAAAGAATCTAATTGGATTGTACTTGTTTCTGGACCCATAAAGCTTTCAGTTCATTACTGCGCTCATTTTCCTCTCCAGGGCACCATGGAGGAGAAGATCTATGATCGCCAGGTGACCAAGCAGTCTCTGTCCTACCGAGTGGTGGATCAGCAGCAGATTGAGAGGCACTTCACCTTTTTTGAACTGACCGAACTTTACACATTTGAGCCGGACCTGCTGGACGACCCCAACTCTAAGAAAAGAAAAAGAACCACCTCTGTTCTGCCAAAGGTGACTTTTATTTTCAGGTTGTTTGAGGCCCATGTAAACATTTTCGCAGCTGTCTGGAATGACTTTTTGTATGTCTGTTTTCTCAGGATAAGATCCTGGTGCAGCTATTACAAACGTGTAAAGACCACATAGTGTCTTTCCACGAGCATGAATCTCTGTTGGACCATAAACAAGATGAGGAGCTCAGCGAGGCAGAACGCAAAGACGCCTGGGCCGAGTACGAGGCCATGGTAAAGAACTGTTCTAATGAGCAGGGCTGCGTCTAGTCTAGTCTAGACTTTAAAGTGTTTTACATTACACCTCTGTGTGCTGACTGTATGTACACGTGTGTGTGTTTCAGTCTTCCAACCAGAACCCCTGGGATACGAAGACCAATGACGAGCTCGTGGTATACATATATGTAATTTGCATATATAAACTGCTGCTGGTGATGTTTGTGGTTTTATACAATGGGTTTACGTGAAAATGTTTTGCAGGACTTGCTGAGAAAGAGCAGAGCAGATGTATCAGTGGCCTATCTGTCAGTGCAGCAGATGGTTTCTTACACCATCGAGGACTACATGTTAAAAGTGGTGAGTGACATTCAGGCTTCATGGTAACGAGATGAATGGAAGATTTAAAATAGGAGTGGATTTATTGATTTATTGATGTATTGCTTGGTGTAGGCTGCCGGAGTATATTTATTGATTCTGCACTCAGGTGTGGAAGAAATCTTTTTATTAAAGAATCTTCAAACTTGCAATTTGAAGAAAGATTCTTTCCTTAGTTTCAGAGACAACATGTATGATTATGGATGAGCATTTCATGCTCATAAATACAGCAGTCTAGTCGGAGCAATGCCAGGATCGGCTCTGCCTTCAGTCTGAATTGGAGGTGGTTTTACACGTCTGTCTGTGGCAAATGGTGACAAAGGACAATACACGTCTGGCCCCCATGGCCCAAATGTGAATTGCGTCTGGGGTTTGACGGGAAGAATCAGTTTACATCTCAGTGGTACTTGAGCTGCTGTTGAAACTACAAATGATCCAAAGGGGAGAGTCCGAGGTTCACTTTTAATGTTCCCGAGCAGATTACCAGCCTTTCTTTGAACCGCTGTGTTTAGTGTTCACACAATATATTCCAACACCTCCCACGGTTAATCGACTTACTAGTCAGTAGACAGAAAATAGTTGCAACTATTTAAATCATTCATTCATCTTTTTTTTAAGAAGAAATATATTTCCTAGTTCCAGCTTTTTAATTCTTCTTTGGCTACATATTGTTTTAAGTTGATGTGACGCTGTGTGTAGCATTGTTGCCCAACATAAAATGTCCCCTGAGGGATACTAATGTACATCTGATCCTATCTAACCACTTTATTTATGTTGCAGCGGCAACAGAATCCTCAGCTGCCGGAGGCCGCGGCTTTGGCCAAAGCTCGGATGAGCAAAGCGTGCGATGAGAAGGAGCAGGAACGTAAGCAGGCCTTTTATCGAGAGGTTCTCGCACACCAACAAACGGTAAGTCATTTATTACACGTGGGTGTGTGAATGCGTGTACATGTATGTACAAATAGACATTCTGATGTTTCAACCAAATCCCTCCACACAGCTCACACACGGCATTCACGCCATCCTGAACAGTCGAAGGAAAGCGATGGAGACGGCCGTGAGCACCGTGGTCCAGCCCGGACCGACTTGAAGAAGAAAACACTCCGCAACACATTATCAGATGTTAGAGAGTCACATTTACAAGCCGTAGGATTTTAAGTCATGTAATGTCAATAGCATTGTTCCGGGACAATGATAGTTTTGTTTTGTAACACTTTGAGCACTTTAATTAACTAGCACAGGAATAAGTTGTCTTTTTATTATTAGCTGCTTCGTACCAAAAACGTTTGTGTTAAGTCCCTTTAAATGCAGTAGGTTTACTGTATATGCCTTAATGTTACCATGACCTGTTTTTTCTATTCGTTTAACTTTGTGTTTGTTACCGGTTCTTACAATTATGTAATAAATTAACAAAATCACAGAAAATGTGTTATTTTTGTGAACCAGTAACAGCCCATGACAGAGTTATGTTTTATATAGCAGGAGTGTTAATAGTGATTATATCGGTTTCCGGTTGTGAAGGAGTTCTGCTGGAATTGTGCAGGACAATGAATTTGAAACTTTTTGTAAGGAAAACAATTTTTCTTGAATATCTTCCTCTAAAACCAAATTCATATTTTGTGCATATATAGCTTAAATGTTGTGACTGTGTGCAGCTTGCGTGCTACATTCACGTCTTCATGACATAAATGACTGCTGGTAGAAACAGAGCAGCTGTTCAGCCCCTGAGAGGAAGCTCCGTGCCCGTAACTTTATTAGTTAATTAATGCAGCGAGCCAGCTGCAGTGGTGTAAAGCCTTCAAGGTTCCCCTCAAGCTCCACTTCACCCGACAGCAGTGCGTTGAAACATGTAAGGAAACATGATCATTTGTTATAAATTATATTTTTAGGTGGTTTAAAAGGCATTAGACTGGAGAGAAATGGGAGTAACAGTCTTTGTGCACATACACATACAGCAATTCATAGAAAATGTGGCAGTTTCACTTAACAAAACGTGTTGCGTTCATACAGTTGCATGCACGATCTCCATGAAAGTGGTATGAATTATGTGTACACATAAATACAAGTATTCCTTACACAAACGTTTTCCAAGATTAATATCCTTTATGCTTGAATTTGGGATATGAGCTCAAAGGGAAATTGGGTCTACTTTGGTTCAAACCGTGGAAAAACATTTCAATGTACTTTACAACACATGGATAGAAAATGCTGGAATGACATTTAACCACCAAATCTAGACACGATGACATGCGTGCAGTCAGTCAGGTCCACTACCTGGAGGGTACTCTTAACATGCACGGGACAGAAGAGACGGCAACATGTTGATCACATTCACACCCATTGACATGTCACTTTAAAATAGTTGCTTTACTTAATGCGTTTAGGAAAGAAGAGATGACACTCACAGGGAGAGAAAAACCTCCACAACATGGAAAACATCAACCAGCGAGTAAAGGATGAAAAAACATTAACGGACTGAGCTACTGCCGACTCTTCCGTCCATGTGAACGAGTTACATTAGTTTGGTGTAAAAATAAATAAATAAAGAAAAACACTCCAGTCACACACGGTCCTCTTAAGTTAATTAATAAAAACTTAGTATATTAAAAAAATAATATTTTCAGTCCAGAAAAAAAAAAAAAGGAGTCCTTCACAGTGAAGGCTGTAGTTCCCTGAAGTCCTGGAAGTTTTAGTCTCCAACATGAAGCTCAATGTGCTCCTCCAATCTGGCCACCGTGAAAAATAAAAACAAAAAGATGGCCTGAGCTTCTAGCTGTGCAGTTGTCGAGTGACTCGAGCAGCTGGCTGTGCAGCGGTTAGTGTCCTGTATCCAGGTCCCTCATGTAGTCCTGAAGGGCCAACAGCCTGGCATCGATCTCGGACAGCTCGGCCCCTGTATCTAAGGAGCTGTCTGGGGTCGGAGACGAAAAATGATGATGTTGTGCGGCGGCCAGCTTGTTTTCAACTCAAATCATTTTATTGAAGCAAAAATGTACACGACTTGGATTAGTTACCTTTGTGTGTTGGAGTACTGCAAAATGGCTTCCTGGTCAAAAGGCCTCCTCTGGACTAGAAAGAGATAAAATGCACATTAAGAAGACAGCAAACCCCCTGAGAAGCCCACAACCATCCGTGAACGGATGTCACGATAGAAAGAGAATGAGAGGGCAGCAACAAACTGTACCAGAGTTAAATGAAGCACCAGTTTACTCACCGCATTGGGTCCATTGTAAGTCTGTTTTCTTCCTCTGTAATCACAGAAAAACAGACTTTAAAATAACCAGCTAAAGCAACAGAGACTTCACAAAAACCTGTTCGGATGCACTCATTACCTGAACAGATTTTGGGCCATTTCCTCCATATCCACTAATGAGCTTTGGGAGGAGTTCCTGCTCCCTCGCCGGTCCACCGATAGACTCCTGCCTCTGCTGCCAGACCGGGCCATCTGAGGATAGGCCTCTCTGGACCGGGAACGCCCCCTCTCAGGGACTGTGGGAGACGTCAGCATGTCCCTCCGTGCCTTCCTATGTCTGACACAGAAAACAGGGTTCACACTGTTGTTGCAACACCAAAGATCGGCGCTGTCAAAGATGGCAAAAAATAACGGAGACAAACTTTTTGAGATCTGCATCTTTCAGCCTGCGCTGCCTGTCCTGGATGTAAGCAGTTGGGTCAAAGCGTTGTACCCGGGACCCTGTTAGATAGCAGGTGAGAATATTTAGATTTCACCTTCTAATAAAGGCAACGGGCCAAACTACTGCTACATCATGAGCAGTACCAGTACCAGTGGGAGACGGTGACGGCCTGGGTATGTGAGCGCGAGGTCCCGAGGAGTCCGCTCTTCTGCCTCTTTCCTCTGACCTCTGACCTCTGTCGTCCGTCTGTTCTCTGGACCCCGAGCGAGCCCTGACCGTCCCGTACCCCGACCGCCTCTCGCGGGAGACGGAGCGATAGATTTCCACGTCAGCCCGAGAACTGACGCGGCCGGACACCGGAGTCACTCTGCTGCAGACGCACAGAGAGAGCGAGAGCGCCGAGTAGGTAAATAACATCCAGAGTTCACATATTTACTCCACATTGTAAGTGAATGGAATAAAGAGAGAGAAGGTAAAGACATAGTACATGATTAGATTGTCTAACCCTCTCCGTAGGAACGCCAGTTCACTGGTGAGATTCTTGACCCGAATGCGGAGAGCGCACTCCGATGCTCTCAGGTCCTCGAACTAGCCAGGAAAGGGAATCAAAAGAGATGTTAAAACCAGCTGAGCAACAACGGAAACCCCATAAATCTATTTCAGTCGACTACTTTGAGGAGCATCAGAGGTCCACCTGCTCCACTAGGAGTCGCTGCTCCTGGCATCTCTTGCTCGCCGAGCGTTGACCTTTGGCCCTCTCCTTGACGAGCTGCTCCTCCAGCGTCCTCACCACGTCTCTGACCCGCCAGTCCTCTCGTCCAGCTGCGGGACCACTTCCGCTGCTCTGCAGCCGCTCCAGGACCTTAGCCATCGCATCCTTTTCTTTTTTCACCAGAGCCAGCCTGCAAACAGTAAGAGACGGTAAAAAAGAAAAGAAAAAAGTCCCGTGTGCCTTCTTCGTATTGGTCACGCTGATGAGATGAAATGCAACCTACTCTGCTCGTAGCCGTTGTATTTCTAATTCTGCAGATTTGTTGATTCCATGAGAGGAGACGGTGCTGAGCTCGGCCTTAAGAGCTCTGACTTCCTTCTGCAGGGCGGCCGGGTCGGGCTTACCCACATAGGGCAGCGGCAAGGGGTAGTGTATCCTACAAAGTACACTAGAGTCAGCAAATCACGGGTGATTACCCAAATACTGAGAAACAAAGTCTGGCCAAAACAGGGCATCGGCAAACTCGTTTTTAATATGTTACCATGTAAGTTGCAACAGAGACACAAACCTGTCAAACTCCACGGTGTATATGAGGATTAGGTATCTTTTGGCAGTGAGGACAGAGGACTGCTGATGGCCGTGAGGACGACCAACCACTCCGGCTTTTCTGTTACGTAGCAGCTCCAGGTCAGCGTAGGTCAAGAGGTCAAGTGTAACCGAATCACTCATCTGCAGAAAAAGCTCAAGTTAACGATCCAACGTTAGAAATAAAGCCAGCTGCCATCCACTACCATAAAACAACCTTTTGAAAGATTAGAAATGTCCTGATTTATATTTACTTTGTCATGCTATGCCTGATCCTTACATGTACAGCAATAGAACGTTTTTTACACTTTCATTTAAATAAAATAAACAAAATAATAATACATATCTATTTTTCCTCTTCTGGGAATCGTGAAACTAATGAGATATTAAGGTTTATTTAGATACAACTGTTAGAAAACTTTTTACTGTCTTTGCACACATTTGATTGTGTTTTTGTGGTCTGTGTTACTTTAGTTTTAGTCACAATGCGCCTGGCAGACAGTACTGATGTCTCTCTGTGTGTGTGTCTACTTTTAGACCGATTCCTAAAAGTACCCAAATTTCCAATAGTTTCTGTTATTTTCCTCGGGGCCCGCTCCCCTTTTGGCCCCCTGTTTCTTAACATTAATGAAAAGCAGAGAGGGAATAAGACACAGCTCGGGATAACTGGACATTGTTTCCGCTCATGTGGAAACATTGAACTCGAATGAATGAGTCTCGCCTCAGCTCACACGGCCTCAGGCTAATTTGTGTCTGTTCGTATCTTTCTATTGACGTTGTATTTGTGCCACCTCTGCATTTTTTTCCCCTCCTCGTTCTATCCGAGTGCACCTTCAAACATATACCTTTCTAACAGCCGATTCTAACATGCTGCAGAAAATGGGGAACTGCTTGAAGTTGCCAGTTTTGCGGGTGAGGTCCTCAATGTCTGAAAAAAAAAAAGAATAATTGAACAATGTGAGAGAGACTACTTGTACCTGTTTTGGCATTTAATTTATAATGAATGTGTGCTACTTACATGCTGGATCAAAGTCCCCTCTCCATTGATCCGCTGTCATTGCATCAGAGATTTCGACTATCAGCAAACCCTTGTCCACCTCTACCTTCACAGAAAACTCCACTCCTCGAAATACAATATCCTCCGTCACCTCAGAGCCCTCCTCCATCACGCCGGGTCTGTGTAGAAGAGGTAAATTATTATCATGGATTAGGAGCAACTGGAATAAACTCATCTGTATTTACAGGTTTGTCCTCCCAGCTGAGCCTCAGACCCATTAAGATCATATCAAATGTAACACATGTGGACAAATCACAGCCTTATTACCTTATTCAACAATCTAAATGAATTCAACTGTACATTATCATCAAATCAGATGTGCATGTCCTGTTTTCTACTGACATAATCGTTTTTTATAGTGTGATATTTGTACTTCATGTAGATTAATTTGACATTCTGTTGTTTAGTAGTACAATAACCTCATAGAAAAAAACATTAAAGATGTTGGCTACAGTTAATACAGAACATTATAGATGTAAGTTATCTTCAGTTTAGCTGTAGATGTTTTTTATTTCAGTTATTTTAAACATATCCACTTCATTATTCTGTCTCACTCTCCTGTTTCACCTGGCTCACCTCACACAGCGTGTCTCAATCAAAACACACCGCGAGGGGCGGTAGCGAGCCAACAGAGTCCATTTCAAAAAGGTGTCATCATTTTTATTGGGGAAAAAGTTCTGGATGGTTTGGTTCACATCGTACGTCGAGGACTCAGTGAACGCCATAAGACATGTTTTACGAGGTAAGATGTTAACGTGCGTATCTTCTGTTGCGTTACAGAGCCGTTAGATCTCGCGCTTCACTTCACGTTCTCTCGTGCAGAGAGTGAAAGCGACTGACATGAAATCTGTGTGAACCTCATCGTTCACTGTGACGTTTCATGCTCACGAAACATACACACGAGGGGGTAACGTGACTAGTTCAGGGTCGGATCTATTAAATGTGTTATTATGGGCTTCTGAAGTGTAGTTAACTAACGCTACGTCTTCTACTCAGCGTTTTCTGTCAATAGATCAGCTAGCAAGAGTAAACATCTTCGCTCTCGTTAGCTACGGTCAGCTAGCTTTGACCATTGTCGTTAGTTAGCGCTGGGTCACGCGAGTTCGTTAACTTGAGTCGCAGCTAGCTAACCGAGCTATCCCGTGTTACTCGGTGTGCGAATAAACGGCAAATATAAAAACACCTGAACGTTACCTTTGGTCGCAGTAACGGTCCGTAATGAGGTGAGATGTCAACACATAACGTTAGCTTCTCGTGGGACAAGCATCGCAGGTGCGTTAGCTAGCGTTGGGTGAAGTGCGTGGAATAGACAGCCGCTTGATTTGTGGTACAGTACAGCTAGTCCAAAACAAGTTGGAAGCCACCGTGGAGACGGGAGCGCTTCAACAACCGGGAACCGTTAAATTCTTCTTCTGCAATTTGCTTTGCCAACGCTGCCTCTTCTTCTGCTCTAATGCGCGAGGACTATCAGGGGCGTTGCTGCCCTCTACAGGCAGCGAGTAGACACGACCTTTACTCTAGTGAGCGACTACAATATACAGTAGTGCTGGAAATGAATAGTGGTGGAGGAAGTATCAGATATTGTAGCAATATAACAATATATATACTCTTATAAAAATACAGAAGTATCATCAGTGGTAATATTGATGCAGAAAAGTGCAAAATATACTTTATATCACAAACAAAAGTACTCATTCAGAAAAATGGAGTCTGTGTATATTATTCACTTATTCAAACTCTTGCATTAATTAACTTCAACTGCTTTCTATACGTTTTGATAGTTTCATCTCTAACAGTCCATCATATTTTATGAAGTGATCACCTGTTGTGTATATATGTAATCAAAGTTTAAAAAAAACAAAGTAACTATAGTAGCTCAAGTTGTCAAATAAATAAAGTGGAGTAAAAAAAGTACAATATTTCCCTCCAGAATGTGGTGGAGTAAAAGTATTAAAAAGCATCAAGTAAAATACATACAAAAGTTGCAATTAATTGATCTAATGAACATACAGAACCAAGAATCTCCTATTTGTCAAGCTAGTATCTGTTTTTATTAAACTTTAAAATTATAATAGTGAACAAATTTGCCTCTAATCGCCAAATCAGTTGAAATAATTGCGTCGGCGCCGCATTTTCAACATAATGACAAAACATGGAATCAACTTCCATGTGTTGACATTGTCAACATCTGAGTGTTCAGCCTTCCACTGTCGAGTTACGTGTTTAAATAGCAGAAAACAAGTGCTTGCTGTAAATGTTTGATGAACCTGTTGCACAAGACCAGAGCCGACCCCTCGGGTCAGGGCTGTTTCCATGGACACGTTGATCACCCACAATGCAAAAAAGTCGAGTAAATGAGTCTGAAGTCTGCTGCTTGTCAGTACAGACGCAGAAAAACACAGGCAGCAGAGGAGTGTGACCTGGAGAGTGTGTGTGTGTGTGTGTGTGTGTGTGTGTGTGTGTGCTAAAGAAGGACTGACTGAGGTGTTTTGGTCTTTCCGAGCAGAGCTCCGCATGGAAGAAACACAAAAGTTGTGGGACCTCATCTCTCCTACCCATGACTCCCAAGAAACCTCAGCAGTGGCTGCAAGTGGTCGGACATGCAGGTTTGCTTATCTGGTCTAACTTATCTTTCATTTTGCTCCTCAACGGGTCTAATTTTAGTAACAAACAATTATCCACCATGTAAGTAAAGAAATTAATTTGGTTTGTCTTCTCTTTTCCTTTTCCAGGGAGCTTTCACATTGGGGACTATGGCACACTGCTGAAGAGGTTTTGTGAGGGGGAGCAACAGTGCTACCTGAGGCTGATGGAGGATGTTCTGAGGCCCTTTGTTCCAGCCTACCACGGTGTGGTGCAGCGGGACGAGCAGAATTACAACATGATAGATAACCTGCTGACCCATTTCAACAGACCTGCCATCATGGACTGCAAGATGGGGAGCCGGTAAGGTTTGATGGCAATGTTTTTGTGGCAGAGCAGAGGAGTTTTATTTCAGGCAAATTTAAAGGAGGAGACTTATACTGCAGCAGTGAATCTCAATAAGGGCTAATCGTTTTTGTGATATATGCTGAATATCAATATAATTCTAGTTCCACAGTTATAATGCTCTTTAATGCAATTAATAATTCCCAGTAACAATAACAGTGAGGCACTGTCCATTACAGCACATACCTCGAAGGGGAGCTGCTGGTGGCCAGAGAACGGCCCCAGCCCCGTAAAGACATGTACGACAAGATGGTGGCTGTGGACCCAGAGGCCCCGACGGACCAGGAGCGAGCCCAGCAGGCAGTGCTGAAAACCAGGTACATGCAGTGGAGGGAGACGCTGAGCTCCACAACGTCTCTGGGTTTCCGTATCGAAGGATTTAGGGTAAGCTCATCAAAGATGGTTGACTTAACTTGATACATAGGGAATAAATGCTGCTAGGTTGACAATCTTTGCAGCAATAAATGTCTATAATCATAGTTTAATAGCTGCACACTTTACATTATAATGCTGTAACTTGTAAGTTTCCTTTGCAGAAGTCAAATGAAGAATGTCACACAAACTTCAAAAGGACCAAAAGCAGAGAGCAAGTGATGGAAGCACTGGACAACTTCGTTGATTCCAACACACACATCGTGGTGAGTGTGACCTCCGATGACTTTCATTCACTCATTGACACATTTGTTGTAACTCTTTTGTGTCTTTCCCGTCAGTGGGGATATCTGAGGCGGTTGAAACAACTGCGGCAGGTCTTGGAGGCCTCAGACTTCTTCAGAACACATGAGGTTAGATGTGGGATGGTTTTGTTTTGTTCATATCTTGAACAGGATTTTAAAAATGTGAAAGGAAAAAACAATTTAGCTTGTTCCAAAAGAGCTAGTTTGTAATTCTGTGGTGCCCATTGTTTTGTAGTTTGGTGTCGGCAGGCTTATGCTGATGATAGAGCACATTGGTCCAGTGGTGGAACCTTTTCCCTAACAGCTGTACCCCTGCAGGTTGTGGGCAGTTCCTTACTGTTTCTACATGACTGGACAGGCAGAACAGGAGTTTGGATGATTGACTTTGGAAAGTCGGCGGCATTACCGGCACACCTCACCTTGGACCACCGCACTCCCTGGGTAGATGGCAATCGAGAAGACGGCTACATGTGGGGTCTGGACAACCTCATTGATATGCTGGCCAACATGCTGCCCCTGACCTGAACTCCTCCCTCAACGTGTGGAAATTCACTCCTAAGCCTTCCTTCACCACTCTGAAGTGAGTGACTGCAGATGCACTGGCTTCTGAAATGGCCGTGTCATCAGAATTGTGAGAATTAACTCGGGACAGAATGAGGGTGTGAAAAAGGAAGATGTGATTGATTACAGAAGTAAATACTTTCAGCAAATTACAATTACAACATTGGTCAAACGATCATTGGTGATTTATGTGAATCTCAACCTGAGGCCTGTAAAGTTTGACCACTAATTAGACTCACCTGTGCTGCCGATCCGCAGCCTCAGCAGCACACGCCGACTCAGCTGTCTTGAGATTACACTGCTCATTATTTTAGGGAAAACATGGCACAAGCAATTAGAGGCCAAAGATATGGGTGGCCCCTCTACTTTGGGAAGATCTGCAGTTTAAATGTCACTCTGTGTCATTAAAATAGTGCTAAAACGACAGTGGACTTATTTCCTGCATTTCTTTAAAGTTACAGTGTGTAGCTTTTTAGGGGGATCTATTGGCAGAAATGGAATATGAAAATAAGAATCATTGTGTTTTTTTGTTACCTTAGAATGAGACGTTTATATCTTCGTATACGTCTTCAAGGAGCAGGCCGCCGTGTTTCTACGGTAGCCCAGAACGGACAAACCAAACACTGGCTCTAGATAAGGTACCTCAGTTCTCCTACACGCTTGGCACACAGGAGAAGGTTCAGTTGGTTGCAATCTGCAACCTCGCTGCTCGATGCCGCCGGATCCTACACACTAAACCTTTAGATATTTAACCTATTAGATTGCGAAATAATTTTACCATTTCCACAATTAAGAAAACACAAAACTTTGGCATTTGAGTGGATATCAAGTCCTACAGATATTGTTAATAGTTAAGACCAATAACAGGAAAGCTGTTGCTTTTGCACATAGTGATTTATGGAGTTAATGGTTTACCATTAAACGTTATATTATTTTCAGTCTTGGCCTTGGCCGTTTGTTCACCACTTCAGTGCAGACCGATAATAATATCTACAAAACTGACGGACGGATCGGCCCAAACGTTTGTTCATGGTCCCCGAAGATGAATCCTCGTAACTTTTTTTTAACTTTTCCTCTAGCACCACAACGAGGTTGATGTTTGAGTGAAATGTCTCGGCAACTGTCGGATTGCCACAAAGTGGCGTAATCAACAAGTCAAAATTGTAATTTGTGCAATACTAAATGACATTCCCGTCATCCTCAGCTGCACTTTGTGTTTACTGCCACTTAGCAAATGTCAGCGTGCTAATCTCAGATGGTGGAAATGGTAAACAGTATACCTGTTAAACATCCAAATGTTAGCATTGTGATTTTAGCTCAAAGCAATATTAACACAATATTTCTACTCTTTTATATTTTATATTTAAAGAGCAGTGACTAAAGTGTTTTGCTACTCTGCCTAATTTACTGATCATTTTGTTGTCAAGTCATATGGAGATTTTAAAATTTGAATGAACGCTCCTTATTAATCCTTCCTGCGGCTGACACGTTGACAGGAACTCTTGAAATTTGCATCTTTTTGTCTCAGTCGTGCTCATTGGTCTTGGTGACTCATGAAAACCAGCTGTTCTCGTCCTCCTTTGAGGCATGAAGGTTGATGGCATTTGATGTTTTTACTGTTTTGGATCATTGAAAGCATCAGAATTGTAGAATGTGTGTGTGTGTGTTACATAAACCACGTGACGCTCATCATTTTAAAAACCTCTTTACAAAGCAATTTTGTATTGTATTATTTGGTTTTTGGTTATTTTTAAATGAATAGTACAGTAATGCTGTTGAGAAAGTAATGCATTAATGGATTCATGCAGCTATCGGCAGTTACTGATGTAACATTTAGCCCTTAAAATACAAATAAAAGGGACAGATATACGCAGTGCTGTAAACCTGAGCAGGTCCGAATGTTAATCAAACTCTAAAGTTCAACACCTGATGCAGGGCAGGCTGGTGAGATGAAGGCAGATGTGCTCTCTGTCTTCCGCACCTGTCTGCTTCTGTCGTTCAGCCATCAGACGGCCGGCAGAGGAAACCCCTGCCCTTACCTGCAGCCCCAGATGAGATTAAAGGGATGAGCAGACAGAGTAGCAGAGTCATGCTCTACAAATCCTCCCACACAGTCTGCAGCAACAACAAAAAGCCCTCTGAGAGGGGCTGGAGGCTGCACAACACAACCGCAATCTGACCTGCCGGCTACCGAGCAAATCCCACTGGAGCACTTTGGAGTTGAGTGCCTTGCACAAGGGTATCTCAGTTGTGGTGAAGATAGAAGGGGTAAGCTCAGCTCTTATATTTCATTGAAATGTATCCTGCTGATCTGGCGAGCTTCATGGTCACGTGTTACTTGTTTAATGTTTAGGCCGCCGCCAAATATTAGTTTCAGTAGCTGGAGAAGCGAGGCTCAGAGCGGGACTTGAAACTAGCCGGTCCAGGCTGGATACAACTGAGTGATTTAAATGAGCAATTACAAAAAGCAAACCTTGTGACACTTGTAGCTCTTTTACGGTGAAGTCACATTGAGGCGTGATGAAGGAGGAGAAAAGAGGAATAGTGTTTTCAAAATGAAGAGATGACGGCGCCAATCAGTGTGTGCTCAAAGACAGAGGGGGTGGGCAGGGGATGATGATGTCAGTGTGTGGCAGATGAAACATCAGACACCCTCTCAGTTTGCACAAAAAACTCAAACAGGCTTCCTCTCGCTGGTCATTGTTCATCAGATCCATGGAACGAGCACAGCAGACCGACTCCCAACGGACGCTGCTGTCAACAAAACCAGGTACAATTTGTGTTTTTTTTACTTTAAACTTAAACTACTTGATCTGTGAGTTGATTACATATTATAAACTGCTACTGACTAAAATGTTTTCATGAATTCAGTAATTTCTTAAAATATATGAACCTATTTATCCAAAGTGTGGAATGTTTGCAGCCAGTTTTTTTTGTGGTTAAAATAATTGTGTATTGATAAAGAGGAAAACAGCATATAGAGTTGTGCAAAATAAAACCATTATAAAATATGTATATTGTAGTTACTACCATTATATATTACGTATCTTTTTTTTTTCTTCTTTTTCTTACAGACTATTCTCTTCTGATGCATCATTTTCCTTCATCATTAAAGCAGCAGAGTAACTCCCACCAAGAGGTGTGCAGACGTTTAGCAGCAGTTTTCCAGCTAAATGCATTGCTGTATATGTAAACCAAAAGTGCTCTATATATTCAGTGCATGTATGTTGTGTGGCGGGTGATGCATGTCACACATATTGCGAGTGTGTGACATGTGAGTGTGTGAGCAGGTGGTGCATGTTGTCGCGGTGGTGTGTCTGTGCTGCTGCTGCTGCTGCTGCTGCGCTCATGGCCCAGAGGAGGGCTGCTGGGGGCTGCTGCTGCTGCTCCAGGGCGCCCATGAATGAAGACAATGCCCGTTTCTGCCTGCTGGCCGGGCTCATCCTGGTCTATTTGTTGTGCGGAGCGGCCATCTTCTCAGCCCTGGAACACCCCTTTGAGCTGCGCGCCCGCCGCCTCTGGAAACAGCAGCTGGACAACTTCACCCAGAGATACAGGGTCAACCTGGGGGCCTTGCACACTCTGCTGCGGCAGTACGAGGAGGCAAACGGAGCTGGGATCAGAGTGGACGCGCTGAGGCCCCGCTGGGACTTTTCTGGAGCTTTCTACTTCGTGGGCACAGTGGTCTCCACTATTGGTAAGCCTTTAAGCTTTTTTTTTTGTCTTTCTAAGATGCCAATTCAAAAGTTCTTAGATTATTCTTATGAGATACCAACTCGTACTGTTTATCATCCTTGACCTTTTAAACTTTTTATTTTGTGTCTCTTCTTTAGGCTTTGGCATGACCACACCGGCGACCATAGCTGGAAAGATATTCTTAATCTTCTATGGTCTCATCGGCTGTGCTGCCACCATTCTCTTCTTTAACCTCTTCCTGGAGAGGATCATCACAATGTTGGCTTACATCATGCGCTGGTGCCATGAGCGTCGGCTCAGGTGTGCTGGAGTTTGGGTGGTGTCGAGCAGGGAAGAGTCCTCCGGCGAGGAGGACAGCCTGGAAGGCTGGAAACCATCAGTCTATTATGTGATGCTGATCTTGGGTGTGGCATCGGTTGTGATTGCGTGCAGCGCCTCCACTCTGTACAGCCCCATGGAGAACTGGAGCTACGTGGACTCCCTCTACTTCTGTTTTGTGGCCTTCAGCACCATCGGCTTCGGGGACCTGGTGAGCAGTCAGAGACAGCAGTACGATTCTCAGGAGGCCTACCGACTCGGGAACTGCATTTTCATCTTGATGGGGGTGTGTTGTATCTACTCACTCTTCAATGTCATTTCTATTATCATCAAGCAAACTCTAACCTGGATTGTGGGTAAACTGGTCTGCTCGGGGCGGCACCAGTCCTGCTCCTGCTCTAGAACCGGGTGCCGGTGGTTCTGCTGCCCCTGCCTCAAGAAGAAAAATCACAACCGCGTGCGTCCGCTTGCACACCTCCGACAGAAACGCTTAAAACGCAACACCGTGCGGCCCATCTCGTCCCACTTTCCCGCAGGAAGACACCGCTACATGGACGGCTCGGTGGAGACCGTGTGCGACAGCGAGACGGACGCAGGTGCGGCCGCCGATGGGGTGCACGTGGGCCGTCGTCTGTCAGGAGAGATGATCTCTGTCAATGAGTTCATGGTGTCCAACAAGGTGTCTCTGGCACTGCTACAGAAGCAGCTGAGCGAAACGGCTCACCAGGGCCCACGGCAAAGCTACAGCCATCAAAATGGATTCTCCGGGGGTGTGGGGGCCTTGGCCATTATGAACAATCGCCTACAGGAAACCAGTGTGGATAGGTAGCACGAACGAGATGTCATTCTTGTGTACATTGCTTTGGGCTCTCTATGATGGAGCCCTAATTCCAAACTATTTTCTTGTCCAAAATACAACTCTACATACGTATGCTCATTTATGACTCAGAGAAAGTCAACAATTTATCCTCAGTGTGACCAAACCAAATTCTGTGACCGGAATAATTACCCTAATTTGAGCATTTTTCAATGGAAGTCTATGCGGATAATAGCAGACCTCCAGCGGGGATTCTGGACATCCAATAATTGATCACATTTTCTTCTGTGTAGAGAAAGAGAGCAAAAAGCCTGAATACAATTTAAAGAATTTAACATCACTGTGAGGAGGGGTCTGATGTCCTGAAGTGATTGGCTCATTCAAAAGCAATCAGATGAAAGAAGCAGTGAAGGACCACTTAGAAGGGGACAGCTGATTTAAGAGTGCTGCACATGTCCTCTGAGCTCCTGATAAATATGGTTGTGTGTGTGAGGTGGTAGTCAGTATTAGTGAACATGCAGACATAAATATATCTACAGTCTCCTCTTAGATAACTAGCTGCTTATACAGCATAACACATTTGAATTGTGGTTGAAACAGAGCTTCTCAAACGCACCGCAGGAGCTCACCAACACGGAAAAAGAGACATTTTAATCTGTCGTTTGCTCACAAGTCGGCCATCTCGTTTCATCAACGCATGTCATTGAAATTCTTAGTAATCATGAAATAGCGCTGAGATCCGGGGTTTTCAATAGAGCACATCCAATCAAACGAGGCCTAGAGGACGTCCTTATGACAAAAGTGCTTATAGTCGCAGGATCACATCATCAGAGCAGAGAAGCAAGATTCAGGCTCTCCTCTGCTAGCTGGAGGAGATCCTTTACTATGCAAAAAAACATAAACATGTTAATCCATTTTGTATCATTCTGTATCATCTACAGTTTTTCATCAGTGCATGGGAGGGTGATTGTGGGGAGAAAAGCGACAAACATCCTCCATTTTCCTCTGTGGTCACGCTTGATGAATTGTCTAAATTGCTAATTTGAGAACAATGAGAAAAAACAGTTCTTTAGGGAGTTATTGTGGGTAAAAATACCGCAAGTAGTCAATTAAATATTCTTTATTTAGGTTTAAAACAGTCATGACTCCTAACATGTAATGTCTATACACAGAAGATTACTCACTGAATAATAAAACAATCCAATATATGATGCGGATTAAATGACCCATCCTGAAACTGACCCGGTCTGATGCTGTTTGTTTTATCTTTGCTATATAAAAGATGAATAAGGCAGCACAGTACATATCATCAAACTTATGGAAAAAAACACATTTCACATACACTGTATTGATTCAAATGTTTACAAATATGGTTATATGAATATAGAAAGAATTATATTATAAGAAATATAGGCGTAGAACTTATTCACGGAAAATAGATTTTGATCGGTCAGTAAATACAGATTTTAGGGTATTTGGCCAATTTTGGGATGCTTTTAGTTCAGAACTTGTTCACAATGCAACCGTTACATGCTGTATAGATCTTTAGATAATAATCTAATTATTTGAACACATAACTCATAACATATCACATAACTTCACTGGGCGAAGTGGATCTAATTCTACATGTTTAAAGTAAACACAAGTTGTAGAAGTAAACACCTTTTCAAAAAAAGGTTTCGATTTTGTGTGAAATGTATCTTTTCTTGACTGTGTATGCGTTGAGATTTAAATAGCAGAATTAAACATTTCATTAGTGTTTATTTGCCTGTCACTTTTTTGCCATGATGAAAATGCTAAATTTGTGCACCCCCATCAGCTGCCCAGCTGCTAGCACTGTTAGCGCTCCCTGTTAAAGCAAATGGATATATGTGAGCTTTTGGGCTAGCAACAACCCATTTTTCCTTCCTTATTTTTAAAACATCTTCTTAAAAATACAACTCTACATACATATGCTCATTTATAATTTCATCCAATGTACAATGTATAATTTCACAGCTGGTTGTTATTCAGTTTTACAGTCATTTGAAAGTGTCATCTGTATTTTCTGTTCACTGAATATGAGGCAGAGGTTTGTTGCTGGATCGTGTCTCTGAGTAAGTTTTACAAAATCTCCTTCTTGTATAAATATAAAATGTATTAGGCTTTATTAGATCTATTTTGCATTGTATTTGTTATGACAAGATGCTGTTTGCTAGTATGATGTAAACAAACACCCCTGTCTGTTCAACATCTCCCTTTTTGTCAAAGTGCACACATGAAAGAAAACAGTTTTAATAATATTGATATTAATTACAGTCCTTCCACGGATCCTTGGAGAACAGCCCGGCTTCTCAAGAGCCTCCCAGGCCCTGGACAGACAGGCAATGGAGAGAATAATGGTGAATATACTCTCCATGCTGAAGGAAATAACATGTCTTCTACTGGTTAGAATGGGACGGTGTGTAGTTTGTACTCACATTTGGTAGCATGGGCTTGTGGGTCTTTCTTTGTTGATAGTAGGCAGAAATAATGCAGTTCCTTCTGCAACACACAAGTAACAAGGTGTAATTTCACAATACAGGGAACACACACACTGACATGTTTTGTGTCTCTTACTTGCTCTGTATGCCTCCACCTGGTGGTAACCCGGGGATGTCGGTGGATGCGAGGACTGTGAGGACAGACAGCAGGTCAGGTTCCTCCCCTCTGACGCACAGCTCAGCATAAATCTCTTTTAGATATTAAAAAGATAAACATGGAAGAAAAAAAACTTGTAAGCACATTTGGAAGTTCCTGCATCAACTACTTCAAGTTTTAAAATATTCTTAAAGTCTTAAATAATAGGGCTTGGCGTTATTCTGTGTTTTTAATATTGTCAACAAACAAATCAACCGTGAAAAGTCCAAAACCAACAATCCCTTTGAACGTGTCTCAATAATTTCAGCCCTAAACCTATTGGTGCTGGCTGAAGACATAATCTGCCAAAACAGCTGGGCCCTGTAGATTTGAACAAACATTACTCAAACAGTGCGTTTTATGCTGCTTAATACACCTTTGGTGTTCTAGCGAGCATTTGCCACATTTGACAGTATTCTGTATGTGGGATTGACTCAAAAAATAAACTACAGTACCCATGTTCATGGTGATGAAGGAACATGTCACCCAGTGCAACAGTGGGGCTCACTGATATGCTTTTGGGCAACAATGGAGATCTATGGCAGAGAGGAATATTCTATACCAGAAACGTATCAAATGTCATAGTCTTGTACTTTAAAGGGTTAAACCAGAGTATTAGTAAAAGAGGGGCTTTGACTGTTTTCCCATCAACTATGAGTCTGATGACAGATACGTCTCTGGGGTCACGGGGCTATATTTCTGGGGTTCCGGTGTAGACAGCGGATATCCAGGCCAAGACTCCCTTTACCATGCCCTGCTCAATGTCGACAGTCCGATTAGCAACTTGAGATGCCAGACTGGAGTTCGAGTTGAGTGACGACATGTACGACCAGATGGCAGGTAGCCAGTTTACAAGCTAATTTAAACAAATAAAAAGCGGATTCATCGTCAGACGATAGCTGTTGGGTTCCTAGATTGCATTTCGGGCCAACGTGTTCCAGCTCTTTTGCCCTCCATGCGGACTGTTTACCTGCATTCAACCAAAGTCTGGTTCGGTCAAGACTGCTCGGACAATACAAACGGAAAACAAGAACTCTTCTGATACCAAAATCTTGTCCCGTTGCCTACAGAGTCTTTATGTGAATGCAGAATTCAGCATATGAATGCAGAATGTGTTCAAAGAGATTCCTTTTGCATTAGAATGAATTGAACCACTGCAGGTACAGAAGAGGTCCATCTCAGTGTGCTTGAACTGCAAATCTCAAGAAAACCGAGAAGTATCAACATCAAACCGTGCGTTGACAAAAATAAGTGCCTCACATGACAGTGCCTGTATGGATATCAATATTGCTCACACACACCTGCTACTTTGGACTCCAGCAGGTCCCCCAGTTCAGCCTCCTGGTGTAATGCCTCTGCTGACAGCTGGGGGGCTCCAGGGAAGCACAGCAGGATGATGCTGATGTTGTCCAAGCTGCCCTGTGGAGCACAGCGATATCAGCAGAGGTGAGTAATGACGGTTGACCTTACAAATGTCAACATCTGATACATTGCTACATCCTGGGGCGAAACAGTCTTAGAGATGGATCACTTTCACCTCAAAGTCACCTCACAGGCGCATCGGAGCAGAAACAAAATGTAAATGGAGCGTGGAAGAAGCGGTGACATTTTGAGGTCATTGTGCGCACCAGAGCTGAAGCCCTGTTACATAACAGAGGGACATGATGGACGTGACGCCCCAAACAGAGTGCAGCATGGATGTTAGCATGTGCACATGTCGTCCATGCTTATCCTGATGTGTTTATATAAGAAAGCGCAACATAAACAATGAACCATATTTATTTTATTGATTTCCTTGAGGTTCTGTGAAACCTGGTTTTAAATAAAGGATGAGTTTATAGAGGGAATTTGTTTCACTTACTGAGGTAGAAGATATGCATCTATTAAATCATGGGCACAACGTAACACTGAAAAGCCTAAGTGGTCTTGACGAGCTAATTCCCTTATTCTACAGATTAGTTACTGTATAGTGAAACATGTCCTGAAATCCAGCAGTTATAACATCAGTGGAGATGGCTGTTATCAGATAATTATTCTCCCTCACTGGTCTGAAAATATTCATTATTTTTAAGGACTGTATAAGACGAGCAATTGTATTTTCTTGAACATTAACCTTCAATCTTCTGCACTCTCAGAGCGAGAGAAAGAGCTGAAATGAGTCCTCACAGGAACCGAGAATAATCCCGTCTAACCGGTTCTGACCCTCATGCAATCTATTTTAAGGTGGTATCTCACACTATTATACACATTTAACCACAGCCATAGTCTAAATGGGACTGAGCCAAAGCTCACAGAGGTCAGAGCTGCTTTTTGTTAATCTGGTTCACTTCCATACGGGCATGAACACGTTTAAAGTGGCTTTAATCATTTTCACAATGGATCACATTGAAAGCGGTCGCTCATAGTGACAACCCCACAGAGTTAACCTCACCTGTACAGAGCATTTTAGCGTCTTTCAGCTAATAGTTTTGTTCTTCAGCACGCAACTTTATTGTTTTAGATCTTTCTCACTGCTCTCGTTTGTGTATTTGTCAGATGCATGGCAGAGTTCACCAATTTAAACTTAAATCAGAAGATGTTCTCAGTTTCATCGCAGTAGACGGCGTATACAAAACACCTAAATCTCACCATATTACATAGATTCTCACCAAGTAGAATTTAACCCTTTTATCTTTATGAACAAGTCATTTCCATACAGTATGTAGAAATAAAATACCAGACCAACAAGTCATCAGACCATTTATATACAAAAGAAGAATGAGAGGATCGAGTACATTCCCCTGTGGTCCTCCTTACAGGCATTACCCCTTCAAAGCTGTTGGATAAAAAATTAAGATATAAGAAAAAGGTGCGACTGAAGCACGTTTTTTGAAAAGCCTGAGTGAAAGTCATATAGAAGATTGATTGTGATTTATTTGGTGTGTGTTCAATTAATCAAATCGAAACTGTTCTCCTTCATAAAGCTGTAATCTTAAAAAAAAAACTACTGGAACGACCTCGTCAGCTTTCAGATCAAGCCAAACCGACTCAACACAGTCACAGTTTACGGGATTATGTTATTACGTGAAATCCACTGACCATTAAAAATGATACAACACAGTTTTATACTGATGTTGTGTTTTGTGTTTCTAATCGGATAAAATGATTTGGCAGTTAAACTGAACATGTAGAAATGCATTGAAAAGGTCAAGATGACACGTTCACATGGTTCTGACCTTATAGAGACAGAGGTCAATGACTTGGGTGCAGACATCCCTCAGGTCAGTGCAGACACTCAGCCGGTTGTGGATGAAGGCGCACAGGTCCTCGTTGCTGATGATGTCCCACACCCCGTCACAGGCGAGCACCAGGAACTCATCTGCTGGTGAGCGCTCCACCACGCACACCTCTGGCTCTGGTGATACCATCTGCTGGGTGGGCGTCCGGTTCTCCGCTCCCTTGTAGCTGAAGTCCCCCAGACCACGGGACACGGCCAGGGAGCCGTTGATCCGTTGGATGGACACAGAGCCGCCCGCACTCTCAATGCGCTCTTTCTCCAGAGGACTGTAAGGTTTGTGGTCTTCGGTGGAGAAGCAAACCTGGCCAGACCGGCACAGCACGGCCCTCGAGTCTCCACAGTTGGCGAAGTAGATGTAATACGGCGAGATGAGGGCGGCCACCACGGTGGTACCACCCCTCTCCCAGCCTTCTCGACGTGCCGCGGAGTGCAGGTGCTTGTCTGTTTGCAGGAAGCCCTCCATGATGGCTCCTTTGACCCTGTCAGGGTCATCCTCTGCTCCCATCCCACCTGTTTGCACAAACAAGATATAATGTTGGAATACTTTGTGTTTTCTGGATTTTTTTGCAGAATGCAATGAGGAATGATAACGGGGAAAAACTGTTTCAAGATCAAACTAAAACATAGGTGAGCATCACATGCAATTATAAAAGACAACAACACTTCCCACCACTGATCAAATCTTTTTGTATTCGTTCATGCACATCTTTCACCTGTGGTTAGGATCTGACCCAGAAGGTGCTGGGAGCAGTACTGTGCCACAGTGCTGCCTGCGTGACCATCGAACACAGCGAAGAAGCTCCAGTCGGCCAGTTCTCCACCCAGCTGTGGCACACAGTTGTGGAAGTCCTCCATGTTGGCCCTCCAGCCCTGCATGCTTCCCAGGGCGTAGGTAAGGCCCCAGCGGGCGCAGCCCTCCTCGGTTAGCTTGTCCAGGACTGGCCGGTCCAGGTAGGGGCTAGGAATGACCTCCTCCCTCTCAGCGTCCCCTGGCTGCTCTCCCTCAGCTGCTCCTCCACGGCCCCCTTTGAAGAAAGAGCTGACCCTCTTCTCTGTCTCTTTCACCAGCTGCCGCATAAACGCAGGCATCTCCACGCTGCCCTTCCTGGCTGTCCTCATGGCTTTTCTGCCCAGCTGATGTGGGTGGAATCTTCTTTTATCCCTTCCTCTGTGTTTGTGGCTGGGACGAATGGCGGAGCTGGGCCTGATGCTGGGCCTGTGCAGTGTCTGCGTATAGCCCTGCCGCTCCAGGGCTCAGAGCATGGCCGCCTGAGCTGATAGATGCTCTCAGTGCTGGCTGCTCACCCCCCTCTCTCTGCTCATCTCCTTCCTCTCCTCTCTCCTCTCTGGAGACCTCACTGATCAGTGCTCTCTCCTCCACTCATCCTGCCTCTCTTACTTGTTCTCTCCTCTGCGCTGCTGTGATTTCGCCCTCTTTCTCACTCTTTCATAGCTCTTCCCTCCTTCACCAGCTCCCCCCTTGTTATTTTTTCCTGCTTCCTCTGTGATTGGCTGGCTATTTATGTGCACCAATCCCTGCTTAGCTTGCATTGCCACTGTCTTGTTATGAGTTCACCCTCTCTCACCATCCTCCTATCTGGACCTCTGCCCCTCCCACATGTTTGGTAATCTGAGCGTGTGATCGGTTGGGATTATGGGCTGCCACCACAGTGGATTACAGGACTGTCGGCCCTTCAGCACACAGTGAGTTACTGATGGTGGAAAGAAGAGACAAGGGACAGAAGGTTTATTTTCACAGGTTTATGCACACAGATGAGCCCTTTAAACTGATACTACACTTGTATACATTAAACATGGTGACAGTGCATGTTAAATGTCAGATTGGACTCAGGGTTGGAGTGTTTTTGTATTATCATATATTATTATTATTATAGAGTTATAGTTATATTCTCACTTTAATACTTTTATGGCAGATCTTTTTTTATTCTGGAATTTAATGTGGCAATAAAGCAAAATTTGCTGCAGGCCAGATGTGGTTCTCAATCATTGGTGTAAAATGATAAGTCGTTTGTCGAAACTATTTCTAAAATAAAAGTGCAAATAAAATAATATAGTTAGCCACAAATCGATATCTTTATAGAGACAAAAAAAATGGAAACTTGAGTGGAGCTAAAGGGGGAAAGTATGCTGCATGTTTGCTGTTTATTTAATTTTGAAGATATCAAAAATGTGACTTTGGTTTTGCATGATTATGCGTGTCACCACAACACGGCTTACAGCAGTTTTTTTGGCCCCATTCACCAAATAAACTGCTTAACTCGGTGGAGTCAGCCAGGATGAGATCACTGCTGTCTGTAATTCTCCCCGTACTTTGATTTTGGGGCTGACACTCTGCCACAGTGGTGCTGATGGGACCAGGCAGGAAAGGATGGAGAAACAGTTTTAAACAGTTAATCAAACTCACTCGTCATGGTGGTGTTAAAGCAGCTTTTCACACTTTATAAGATCTATGGTTAACTCACGTTTAAGACATTTTAATGTTTTGCCATTCTATATAAAATATGTCTGTAGATATCCCTCTCGTGAATTTTAAAGCTTTTAACAGTCTTAAAAAAGGTGGTTGCTAACAAGTGGCTAAATGAGACGTCATCACACCAACTAGTGTGCCTTTACAGCCTCGTTGTGTGTACTCTCGCTCAAGAGACCATGGTGTAGTTTGCTCATGTTTCTGCCGATTGCATTTACGCTTAAAAAAATCATGTGGTGATCATTTGTGAATGTGATCTTGCTGAACAAAACGTGTTGGTATCATAAACTTGCGTTTATCACAGATCTTATTTTCTGCAATATTCTGTAAAATGACAAACAGGTCAGTGCATTCTATTATATTTTACAGTTGGGTTGCATGTTTAATTCGTCACACACTTTTAGATATGCAGCCTCAATGGAAGACATTTGGGAAAAACAGGAACGTTATTCAGACCAGCTGAGACTCTTTTCTGTGTTGAAGCTCAGGATGTTTTTTCTCATCACCAGTTACATTGTATTTAAGGTTGATGATTGTTGAAAGTAGACAACATATTTGTAATTCAATGGCCTCTTTATTTTCATTATGAACTCCTTGAAAATTCATGAAGTGTGATTTACACTTCCCCAAAATATTATTGTCTCTGATCGTCGTCATGTTTTAATCCTTTTTGATTTGTATTTTCTTTTGTTACAAAATTAACGGACTGACAGACGACTCCCTTTCATCAGTGTGAGTCATGATGTGGCTTAAAGCTACAGTCGGTACCTTAAATAAAAATAACTTTTTGTCATATTTGTTCAAACTGTGACTATACCCCAACAGTAGTACAAGACAAAGATAATCTGAAATATATAATATAGTTCTCATAAAAAAAGTAATATTATGGTATACCATTAACATACTACACTATGACTTTTTTCGTCCTGCTGTACTTTGACATTTTTCAACATGCTATACTTCAATATACTATATTATGACTTATTTAGACATACAATACTATAATCTTTTTTAAAGACTTTTTTAATTACTATACTTTGACTTATTAAAGTACTATACGCAATTTAATTACTTTTTTTTCAAAATGATTGTCTAGAACTTTTTTCCAATGCTTTTTTGACATAATATACTCTGAAAATGTCATGTCTGTTTCATACTGTTCTTTGCTTTTATTATGAGATAGATATATAGAGATATATATATATATATACATATACATATATATATATATACACATATATACACATATATATACATATATATATACACATACATATATACACACACACTGTATATACATACATATACATACAGTGTATATATATATATATATATAAATATTTATTTATATATATATATATATATTTATTTATATATATTTATTTATATATATTTATATATATATATATATTTATATATATATATTTATATATATATATAT